GCCCCTTAGAGCCAATATTTCGACGAGACGTCGAGCGCCTCACTCTGAAGAACTCCCCTTCTTTTAGTACATGAAATAACTCATACTCTACCTTCAGAGGGGGTATTTTGGTTTCTCCTTTAAATGCGTATAGTAGGAGTTATGCACACCCTCTTGAAGGTACAATTGAGCATGGCGCGAAGAAACCACCACCGCACAATCACGTGCTCATACCCCTCAATGTCGTGGGGTCCTAACGAAAGTACATTGGGGTCCGATTAAGTCAAACGACAGCTGATTCCAACTCATATGGGGTCCAAGGCCGCAGGACATAAGTCAACGTACGTTGGACCCCATTGGTCACGCAATTTTTCTCGCGTTTTCGTTAGTTATTAATCAATTTCACGTCATTCCAAATATCGAAACGTTTTTTTTTTTTAAGTCAATATTGAGATAATTTATCATAAATATCGACTTAAACATTCTATTAGAATCTCATCTTTTTACTAATGTCTGTTTGCATTTCACATTGAAAAAAATTTATCATTTTAGGAACAATTTTTTTCAGTGCACCATTTTAATTACCAAGCCACATGTGATTTAGAAAAGAGCAGATTTTGTAGCAACTCTTGATGAGTTTGATCATCAAAAATCTGTATCTGTATACTGTAGCTTTTATAATAAATTGAAAAAATATCAGCAATCCATTGTTCTTATTTGCTGTCAATTGAAGTTATTTCCAATATTACTGAACTTCCCTGAATTTTTAAATTAAATGGAGTAGAAAAGTGATCAGAAAACGTTTTAGAGTCTAAATGTATTCCATATGATACAATTTTTTTATCCGTTATATTTTAAAAAATATTCTAGCTCATTGAGAAGGTATTGATGATAAATTTATTAAACAGTTCTATAGATATATGATAATTATCCTGTCCTAAGATACATACATGTATAAAGCAGTTCTTAGCCTACAATAAAATATTTGCCAAAATCAGACATTAGCTTTTTCGCCAACCGGTTGGGTGTATCTGACAGTAAATAAATTCCCATGGGTCATTCACTCATTCGTTGAGAATAAAAACTAGTTTTTTTTTATATCTGATTTCTTGTTTTAAATACAGTTTGTCTTGATAATTTTTATAATAAATTCTATAGTGTTTATATAATAAAAAGTCTAGACTTGATTTTAAAAATCCCATACATCATGCATCACCTAACATCTAAAGTCCTTTTACAAATTATGAATGTTTAATTTTAACACAAACACGTTTTTATTTCAGTTCTATATTTATATTCCCTTATATCACACTATTCTATCTAATTTTTAAAAGCTCCAAATTGGAGGGAAAACTAAAAATCCAATGTCATTCAGTAACGACAATAAATAAGCAGAGGGAAAACGTTAGTCTGGCTGTTAGGGAGGGTAATAAGCTATGAAGGATTTTAGTTATAAATATTTCAAGTGGACTACATTTTTCTAAACCATAAATTCTATTTTTTCAAATAAAAATTGATGATTTCCTTTCAATTTATCAATCTATTTAAAAACTTTATCTTTATATTTAATTAAGAAATTATTATTAATTATCTATCAACACAAGGAAATAAATATGTTGTATTGTATTCATCATTAAATAATTCTAAAATAGTGTGAAAATATTTTAAGCTTAAACGAAAAAGAATAGCTGTTGACATCGACTTATGATTAAGAATAAAATATGAGTATTGTACCAGCATCTCCAACCTAGATGTTGAAATTTCGTGACCTTCAAAGACGGTAAAAGAAAACGAAACGTTATAAATGACCCTCTAACCTAGAGATTCTATTATTCTAAGGGTTAGAACCATTACATAGAACACATTCCAATCGATTCTATGGGATAGACTTGCAGGATTCTATTGTTGATGGCATTGGAAGGCTTTTTGGCGAACTTTAGATGCAAGAATGTGTAAACGAGATCAGGAAAATGGTTGGAATCAGTATGTCTGTATGTGTATTCAAAATGTAGATACACATTTATGTATGAATGACTTATATAAACTCACGTCTAATACCTGACACGTGAAAATCCTTAGAAAATGTGGAGGAGTTCTTTTGATCAGGTGAAGTATTGTGTGGAATCTTCAAGAAATAAGGCACTGTTTGTATCGCATCACTAAATAAGGAACTAAACAAGATGAGAAGGAAGAAAAATAAATAAAAAGAAAATGCCGCAGTTTTTTTTTACCTGCATTCTCTGACTAAGTTAGGTCATATCATACTGATTGGAGCTTTTTAAAAGTGAAGAATTAGAGAAAGTGTTCATTGTTTATTCTCAGAAAAATTATATCATTATAATATGAAACATGAGAAAATAGTTTTTTGAAAACTTGAAAAGCTGTCGATGGGAGACAATAATAAAATAAGACCAACAAATAATGACTTCAATATAATACATTTTAAAATCTATCAGAAGTAGAGTTTAATTTTTGCAGCTTGTATTCAATCCAACTGTTTTTATTTTTATTAACAACAAATATTTTTAATAATAATGCATTTACACTGATGTATTTAAATCTACCCCTAACTTAAGAGTTGCTCATTACTGTTTTTCGTACGACAAAATTTATGTTGTGACCTACGTTTAATTTTTTTTACGAAAATTTGAAGAAGTGTTTTTCATTGAATGATAAAAAACTTTGTATTTTAGTTAATTATCATTAGTTTATTAACTCGAGTTCTAAACAATTAAACAATTTTTTTTTATTAAAATAAACCTTTTATTTCTAATAATCTGTAATTCTAATGCCGTAAAAAAAATTAATCTCAATCGAAATACCTTAATGGATGTATCATGAAGTTGATTAGAGACTCTTACATGAAGAATGCTGAAGTAAATTAAATTTCAATATGATTTCATTCATATTGTAATGAGGAATGATGACTTGGTGGTGTATGTTAAATGAAAATATGATAGATAATCCTATTAAATTGACTATTAAGTGCAGAACATAATAACAATAATTATTACTATTCTAACACTTATCTTAATATTATAAGTCCATAAATAAATAGACTATTTATGCTAACTAATAATGAATTGAATCCAAGACGTTTCTAAAGTAGTTTTAAAAAATATTTTAATTAAATTTTGCCAATAGTTATCATCTTATGATTATCATCATCATTTGAATTGAAAGCAAAATAAAATATTTTTCCCTAGGAATGATTGTTCATGTGTAGTAGTATGTTGGATATGTAGCAGCTAATTTTGCACTTGTCAGTTATTCAATAGACTTTCTCAAGTCTGATTGGTAGTATTGATACGCGAAAGAAAGAAGTGGGAAAATAAGGAGGAGAAAGAAAATAATATTCTACAAGTAGACTATATCAGAAGGGTGTTCCAAAAAATCTGCAGAAAGGAGACCCCAACGTTGAAATTGCCGGCCCCCCCACATAGTCAAGTCTGCTGTCTTAGCATTGAGGGCCGACTCAATGTTCTTAATATTCAGGCGGGACTTAGGCCCAATGTTCATTGGTTGTAACTTCATCCCCACTATAGTCTCCCTCGTTCATAAAACCGGGGTTCACCCTAGCGGAGCCACATTAACAACCCAGTGCCTGTGGAGTGAACATCTACTTGTGCTATTTACTATATCTTGAGTATCAGTTGATTCCGGTCTCACTGCTGCATTTCAAATTATTGGATTTATATTTGTGGTTTATTACAGTTGTTATTTAGTGACAAAAACTTTCTGTAATTAGTGATTTTGGAGTTTTTAAGATGTTGTGGGAAAGTGTTACTGATTCATGTGATGTGTGTCAATGTACAAGGTATAAATCAATTTTCAATCATTTTATTTCATATTGTTCCCATCAAATTCATTCATTTCATTTTTCAATCAATTTCTTCTAAAATTCTCATCATCATTTATTCATTTATTCAATTTTTCTAATGACTTGTCTAATTTAAAAAGAAATTAAATTTTTAACTCATACCTGGGTTGTTTCCACACTTTTTGCTGATTTTAAATCAAAAACTTACAATTTTATACTGTATATAATTTTTTAAACATTTTTTCTGATATACTAAAATAAAGTTCGCGAAAGATAAGTGCAAAAATATTGATCACGAGCCATCTGATTTAAATTCGCGAAAGATAGTGCTAAAATATTGATCACGAGCCACCTGATTTAAATTCGCGGAAGATAAATGCTAAAATATTAATCACGAGCCATCTGATTTAAATTCGCGAAAGATAGTGCTAAAATATTGATCACGAGCCATCTGATTTAAATTCGCGGAAGATAGTGCTAAAATATTGATCACGAGCCATCTGATTTAAATTCGCGGAAGATAGTGCTAAAATATTGATCACGAGCCATCTGATTTAAATTCGCGGAAGATAGTGCTAAAATATTGATCACGAGCCATCTGATTTATAGTTGTTAAAAAAATAGTGGATAAATTATTTTTAATTCATTCAAATACTCCAAATCTTTTTGGAGTATGAAATAACTAAAACATTTGTAGATCCCCCTTCAGTGATGAATTTCAACTAATTTTGATGAAGGTCATGTTAGTCGCGCGCCAACTTCCACCAAGAACGCACGTGGCGATATTGTTTATTCGTAAAAAATAATGCGAGTGTATTTTATGATGAAATATTTACCAGACGCACCTTTATAACAAAACTTACGAAGAATGGTATGAGAATTAATAAAAAAGATGTCACATATGTGATATCAAATCATAATTTATGATATAATATTTTGGAGTAGCTAAAGCAAAATCCCGCGCTTTTTTTAACATGAAATTATTTTACGGAATTTATGTCAAATGATGATAATTATTAATTGCTTTTTATTTCATGAACTTTAATCTATCAGGAAGTTAATAAATATAATTAGTTTGATAGTTGAATTTTTTAGAAATTATTGGTTTTCTAAGATATAAAGTTAGGTTATACTTAAGTTGAAAACTGTCTTGTAGCTAGTTGAAATAAATTTGTAATGTATTTTTTTTTTTTAATTCCAGACTTTTCAAAAACGTCTTTAAAATTAAAGGAACTCCTGAAGGTATTGTAAAATCCAAATTGAAAGCTAGGAGAATGATGACCATGGCATCACGACACCTGTCCAGTCCTGACTTGGTTCATCTTACAATCAATAAAGAAAACGGCAGCGCACCCTGCAGTCCACTGGCTATGAAATTGAGCCCTCTTACGGTAAGATAAATTCAAAAATCTTCAATTATAATAATTTAATTTATCATTTTTAAATTCATCATCAATATATTTAATCATTCCTTAAGTATTGTGTCTAATGATTTGATTAATTTTTTTTGTGCAGAGTGTGAAATCCAAAACACCAAAATCGAGATGCCCGCTCGAAGATTTCGATCCCAATAGCCAAGATAGTGGATATGGTGCAGGTTATCAAGAACCCGAAGAAGGTTTCCGGTTCGTTGAACCCTCGGGAGTGGCTCCTCGACGAATGTCTATGGATTCGCGAAGTCCTCAAGAATCACCAGTTCGTTCATTTCCAGGAAAACGCCGTATTCCATTTTTAAATAGACTCTCATCTGAGGGTGAAGGTATGGATGATGGTTTTAATGAGCTTCTTGATGCTGAAAATTTCATGGATAATCCCGAAATGCCTAATGGTCTGAATGATTTAATATCAGGAGAAATATTTTCGATGAGTGAAAATCCTATGGAATTAGATGCCTCTACAACCCCAGAATTCCCTCGAACCAGACCAACCGGTGTAAGACGATCATTGTCACTCCAAAATGATCGTATGAAGCATGATTCTGAAAGTGGAACCCCGCCAATATCTAAAGTACGTTCTTGTTTATTTCGTTCACCTAATGCTACATCATCAGCCTCTAAATTAGCTTACAATGACAACAAACCAAGATCTACTATCTTCTCATCGCCTGAATCTCCAGCTGTACCTTTTAAGTCGTTTAAAAGACCTGATCCACCGACTGACGCAAGCCCAGTTCTCGTGAAACGATGCAAGAAGTCTTCAAGTTTACGCGAATTTCAAGAAACTCCTGTTGAAGAACATAAAAGTTCTTTTCCTAAATATCATTCAGAACCAGAAGCTCATGCTCATATTAAATCTGCTATTCATCGTAGTACTACTGACTCTGATCTAACTGGAGATTTTAGCAAACCTTGTATTTTACCGTTAGCTGAAGGACATCATGAGGATTTAAAGTCCATTTCAACTGATACTTTGGCCGCTTTAATTCGTGGTGAATTTAAGGATTCAGTAGATTCATTTAAAATTGTTGACTGCCGTTATCCTTATGAATTTGAAGCTGGCCATATCAAAGGCGCTATAAATCTCTATACTAGAGATTTAATCGAAGAATATTTGATGAATCCAATCACTCATACTCCAGAAATTCAACCTGATACAAATAAAAGGAGAATTCTAGTATTTCACTGTGAATTTTCCTGGGAACGTGGACCTAATCTATCACGTTACTTGAGAAATATCGACAGAAAGCTCAACAAAGAGCATTATCCAGCTTTACATTATCCTGAAATTTATCTTCTCCATGGAGGATATCAACAATTTTATCGTGCACAGAAAGAACTTTGCACTCCACAGGGATATAGATCAATGACACACCCAGATCATGAAGCTGACTTACGTAAATTCCGTAGCAAAAGTAAAAGTTGGCAAGGTGAAAAGTCAAGAACTAGTCTTATTTCACGCGCTAATTTGAAAAGACTAGGATTGTAAATAGAAACATTGTAAAAATAGTGTTAATAATATGTAAACGTGTACAGTATAGTTTTGAAAACAAAACAATCACGTTTTGATAGTGCAAAAATATGAAAGAAAAACAAATATTATACTTCTTACTTTGAATTAAGGATGAAGAAAAATGCAAAAAGTTGACTTTTGTATATAGAGCTGTAATTAATTAAAATTTAAAGAAAAATTTCTAGTACAATTAAAAAAACTCAATGCGCTTATTATTATGATTGTATTGACGTACAGTAGCAAATAATTCTTCGAATACTTTTGCAGTAAAGTTGTAGTCGACAATTATTTTTATTTTCTTTGTAAAATAAATAATATAGAAATGAGAGATGATATGTGTATAAAGCTAATGAAGGATGAATAATAGAATAATTTAAAAATGCAATAGCCTCGTTTCCTAATAGTTAATTGTAAGAAACTGAGGCCTTATTATTGAAAAATAGAATTGTTATAGAATTATAGTAAGTTTAATAGAATTATAATGCTTGTACATTATTCGGGCGGGCATCCCATTTGTATAGAAACGAGCTTAATTCATATCACAATTCTATTTTACTCAATAAAATATGTTTATAATTTCAAGCAAAGAAAGATATATTTGACGAGGATCAATTGCAAATAGAATAAGAAAAATTTTTGTGTCATTTATAAATTTTTTTATACGTTGATAAATTTATTGAAATAATTCTTTCATCGATTGTCTTGAAATTTTCAATGAAAATTCTTCATTAACATCACTTTACTATGTACAGGAACCAAATTTTCAATTATGTATTAAAGTAGTAGATAAGAACGTATGTCAATAAAATGTGCAAAATTATAAAATATAATGTAAAAAATCTTATGTTCATTAATACACATTTTTTCTATAAAACATATCCATGACTTCTATTCCAAACCACCTTCCTTTTATATATTATTTAATACCATCTATTTATTTGTTCATCAAATATTAATTAATAATTCATCAAAAAATTTGTCATTTCGAAGATCGATTCATTTCAATATTAATCTTTATGTTAAATATTTGGAGTAAAATATAATTATTTCGCGAATATCATCAAATAATTCTTAAGCATAGGATGGACCAGGTTGAGGTGTCATGGGAGTTGATACCATACTAGTATCTATGAACTTGGGACGTTCGAATAAAACAATATCACCTTCAGATGAAGTTTTCGAAAGACTACCATCACTATCTCCAAGTAAATATCTAATTCCTGCAATTATGAATCCTAATGCCGCTGATATTGAAGATATTGTTAGACATACGTCGAAAATATTATTATAGCTTGTTCTCAAATTGTCAGCTTCCTCTCCACTCCAATATTCATCAAATTTCTCTTTATAATGAGCATTATAAACAGCTAAAATCACATTGACAATTAAAATAGTCAAGCTGACTATCATGAATATGATAAATAATCCATAATGAATCGATTTTTTATCCATTAGCAATTGTTAATAATTTTTAATTTGTCTCAATGGTAGGATAAATGTGGTACTAAATATATGATAAAATTTTCAAAAACATATTTTTCCCTTTTAGAATAATAAATTAAATATTTTAGTTTAAACGAAGTTCGATGATTCTTGTAATTGATTCTTTTTCAAAATTTCTGCTTTTGAAGTTTTATGTATGCCCCATGCTTGCCACATTATAATTATCATTTGAACAAATGTTGCAAAAGTAGATGCTCCTAATAAATAAAATACTGCAGTATTCCACGGTTTTTTATCTTCAAAATATTTCTCTTTATCACCTGCTAGCTCTTCAGGGGTCATTGGTTTTCTACCGTACCATGAACAACTATATGTTAAGACATTTACAAGGAATACGAAAACAGTAAATGCAAGTAGAATAAGGCCCAAGTTCGAAGTAGGTTTTGCATTTGTGACAACTGTGTTTTCCATATTATTCAAGAGTAAATTTATACCTTAAATTGTGTCTTTCTAAATATACTAAGAAAAAATGAAAATCATCGAATGATGAATAATTTTTTTGCATCCCTTGAACATTGTGAATAATGTTCTAAATTTTCAAACTCATCAACTTATAAATAAAAATGAGCATTATATTGGTTTGCCTAGGAAAAAAATGTAGCATTATAAAAATTTATTACTCACAATTTATCGGCATCAATTTGTTGACGACAACAGTTTGTTTTTCAAACTAAAAAACATCAATTATTGTATAAACAGTTAGAGTATAATTTCAACTAAGAAGACATGACACTTTGCTCCATCTACCGTCCAATAATGATGAAAAACTGCCGACATTATATGTCGGTAACTATTTTATCGGCTAATCAAGAATCTTTATTACTTACTGTGATAAGTTAGATACTATTTATATCAGTAGATAATATTCTCGAATTGTTTCAAATTTATTGTATTATGTACTTGAAAAATTTGTTATAATGATACATCTGTCCTCAATAAAACATATTCCCACTCCAAAATATTTACTCATCGATATTTATCTCAAATAAAAATAACTTCTGATTTGTTTCGTCTTTATCAAAAACTTGACTTGGATAGAAACCTAAAAAAATAAACCTACACATCACAAATATCTGTCAATTTTGTTATTTTTCAGTAAGTTTTTTAAATTCTATTTATTATAATTTATTCATAAAAATTTTTTATAAAATAATATTACACTTTCTAAAAATATTTTTGTAAATAGTAATTCAAAATTCGCGCTTTAACTAATCATGATAAATCAGAGCGTGCAATTTCTCACATCTATGACGTAATACTACTCCAACCTCTGTTCTCCCACGTGGTCATTCAGATAGCATGTTTACTTTACATAAATATATCATCATTTATTTACTAACATTAATGAAATTTCTAATATGACAAATTAAAAAAAATATCAATAACTACGCATATCAATTACATAATGCATTCTTCAGGAATATTCACGATTATACCAAAGAAAATGGTGCAGCATGTGATAAAGTTTCTTAGCGTTGGCAAAATACCTACTTACCAGGTGAATTTAAATTTCTTGGCGCCCAAGTTGTCTTTTATCATTTACTTATCTCAGTGATTATTTACTTTCTTTTAGGATGCTATAAATACATTAAATAACTTACAATCCAATGCAGCTTATCTACGGACAGCTCCGAAACATGATGCACATAATAATTCTCTCAAGGATACAATAAAATATCTATTAAGGTAATTCAACTATTTAATTGTTATTTAACTGTACTTGAGTAATTATAATCTATACCATAAATTATAACTTGAGTTAACTGCTTAAAATAATGACGGATAAATGAGTTACATTTGATAAATTTTCTGATGACAAAATATTTCTAATAGTTCTACTATTCATTATGTTTAAATATTATCATTAACCGTATTTTGTCATTATCTATTCCATCACTTAATATCTAAGTAAGCTATTATAAATAATAATAACTTCAACATCTACAGTCTTAAATTAGTATATACATAAATACAAATCTTGTACAGATAGCATTAAGCTTGTGATATAAAATAATTCACAACCATATTTTTTAGATCAGGAATCACTCAAGAACAATTAAATAACCTGTCAGTAATTCATGTAGCAGGAACCAAAGGAAAAGGATCAACTTGTGCATTTGTTGAAGCTATTCTTAGAGAACATGGATACAAGACAGGATTGTATACTTCTCCTCATCTGGTATCAGTTAGAGAGCGCATAAAAATAAATGGCAAATTAATAGACGAAGCTTTTTTTACGACTGAATTTTGGAAATTATATAATAATTTAGCAGAAAAAAAGGAGCACGAGAATGATATGCCACCTTATTTCAAGTTCTTGACTATAATGATGTTCCATGTCTTTCTAAAAGCCTCTGTTGATGTAGCGGTTGTTGAAGTTGGGATTGGTGGTGAATTTGATTGTACTAATGTCGTTCCTTCACCAATATGTGTTGGAATTACTACGTTAGATATGGATCATACATCATTACTTGGAAATACAATGGCAGCTATAGCTTATCAGAAGTCAGGAATTTTTAAAACAAATGTACCAGCATTTGTGACTCCACAATTGCCAGAAGCAATGGAAGTTCTAGAAAAAAGAGCTGAAGAAAAGAATTGTCCCTTTCATATTGTGGCTGATATTTCAAAGTATTCATTTAAAAGAAATCCTCCTCTTCTTGGGATGGCAGCAGACGTTCAATATTACAATGCTTCATTAGCTATTGAACTTGTTACTGAATGGTTGAAAAGTTCAATGAAGAAAAATAAAAGTAATGTTAATAACAATAATTGTTTGAAAAGTACAGAACTTGATATTCATAAAACAGAAAAAGCTTTATTAAACTGTAAATGGCCGGGAAGGACTCAAATATTGCGAGGAAAATGTATAGATTTCTATTTGGATGGTGCACATACTGTGGAAAGTATGAAAACATGTGTAAATTGGTTTAAAGGGCATGTAAAAAATACTGGTAACAAAAAAATTTTAATGTTCAATATGACTGGTAATAGAGATGCTACTGTTCTCTTGAAACTACTTCAACCTCTTGAATTTGATCAAGCTTTTTTTGTACCCAATGTTGCTGGTATAAGTAACTGTTTGGATACAGAATATCGGTATACTAATGAATCTGAAATGATGAATCGTTGTATGCAGAATTGTCAGTTCTGGGGAGAAAAAGGAGTTTGTTTGCCATCTGTTAGTGATGCTTTAAAAAAAATTAACTGTGATTATAACTTACAGGATTGTAGAACTGATAATAAAGTTCAGCTGTTAATAACTGGTTCTTTACATTTAGTTGGAGCTATTTTTACCGTAATAGATCCAAATTTATCGATGACTACAAAATATTGAAGCTAAAAATATTCTATGAATTTATAAAAATTTTTATATATTTTTAGCTATATTTTGATAAAAATCAACTATTGAAAAAAAATTAATTTATGTAAATAATTGTAAACTGATTGTTAAATTTTTTTTGTTGATGTTGTATAAATTAATTTAAAGGATAAAAAAATTTACAAAGAAATATTTATGTAAAATTGAATAAACAAAAATCTTTTTTAAATATTTTCATTATTTATTTTTTTTTTTATATAACGTTAGTTATAACTATCACTGCATTATAAATTCAGTACGAGTATCAAAATGATACATTGCATTGTAAATTGTAATAAAGAGGCGTAAGCTCTAATCTCGTTTAACAAAATTTCTAAAATAACCAAATTTGTACTTTCACATCATATATACATCTTACGCGGTTACTCTTTGTACGATCAACTAATAAAATTTTTTGAGACTTACTGTACTTTACGTGATTAAGTAAAAATATTTTTACAACTTAAAATAGCTTTGGATGGTACTCTAATTCTGATTCAGCTTCAGTATCGGATAAACTCAAAGAGACTCCGGGTCGACGTCTTAATCGGTTGTCATCAGGGCTCTGAAAAACATAATATTAAAATTAAAAATTTATTTATTAAATTTTTCGTATGCAAAAAATATATTAATTACCTGGTCTAAAATTCCAGCAGTGGGTTCTGATGCATAGCCTACTTCTTGCGCATCTTCTTCCAAATCTGCTTCATATTCTTCAAATTCAGACTCGGAATCGATATCCAGATCGTACTTATTTCCACGAGAAACCTTACAAACCATTTGCGCTAAATCCGTAAATGTATATGAAGGGAAAGAATCTTGTTGTGAGGCTTGATTTTTGGTTCTTAAAGCTTTCGCATGCTCTCGATCTGCATTAAATCGAGGCAATACTCCTGCTTTAAGCTGTCCTTCAAAATATGTTTTACCTGAAAAATAAAAATGTGGTAGAAAATTAAAATGATAATCAATTTCAATTAAGTTCATAGAATAGAATTAGATTTTTACCATGATGATAACCAACATCTTTAATTTCATCAAAATTAGCAAACTGTAGGGTTTTATATTTATCGATTGGCGGTCTAATATATTCACAGTAATCTGAAGACTTCACTTCTTCTAATTGTCGTACACAGCTTACATATGCCAGTCTCGATTGAATGTCAGGCAAATTAGGGACTTTAACAGGTGTAGCAAAAGGATTCCATCGTTTCCAAAGCAACCACCATCCTGATAATGAATCTCCATAATTTGTTAAATCCGTGTCATCTTGAGAACCTACATCGATGGCTAAAATATGATGGGCTCCTTGCCTCAGCATTATGTCAGCTTTCAGATAAAAAGATGATCTATTAGTTTACTGTTATAATAATAAAAGGTCTTATTAAATAAAACTCCAAATTTGTTTTGATTAATATAGATCAATTATTTTTATATAAATTTTTGGAAAGTTACTGTTGATTAATGTTTTTAAGCAAACATAAACAATACAAATACCCTATTTTATTGTTCCATTTGACAAAAAAAGCAAGTGAGCTGATTAAAATTTTTTTGCAAATTTTATTAATTGATAATAAATAAAGCGTTATACCTGGGACATTGTTAACATAACACCCGTCGACCAAAAGATGCCCATCGAGTGGATCACAAATTGGTGGGAAAACACCAGCAACAGTCATACTAGCTCGAACATACGTCCATAGCGGGCCTGGGTATAATTAAACTGTTCGATTTGCATTGCATTCAATGATGCATCTTTTATCGACGGGAGCGAGTAAAAATGGGTACAGACATTGAATATTTATCAACATGAATTACAAATAGATAAAATTTAAATGCGTTCGTAGGAATAAAATTACCTGGGAGATTATTGACATACCCGCCGTCGAGGAGTAGGTGGCCGTCAACTGGGTCGCACAACGGCGGCATATAACCAGACAATGACATCGAACTCCGAATGTACCGCCACAGCGATCCTAAACACGATGAATCATTATGCATTTTCAAGATTATAGATCTTCTACTGCACTTATGATTCCAAAATAATAATAATATTTACAATATTTTTACATGACAATCGACAATACCAATCAAGCTGGAGTTATTTATTTAAATTTCTTTTCAACAAATATTTACAATAAAAGCTCACGGTAATTTTAATCAATAAAAAATAAGTTAATTTCTTGATATATACACGTTTAATAATAGCACCTACAACGGTGAGTACGTCAACAATAATAATTTATAAAACTCGCTCCCGTCATTTTAATAAATAATATGCATTACTGCAATTATTAACGAGTGCGAGATTAAACTTTTATATGAGAAATAATAGAATTATCAAAGCGTACTTCATTTTGCAACTACTCTACTGTGAAAATCTAGATACAGATATGTAGGTACAGAACAAACAGATACAAAAAGAATATTTGGAATATTTTGAAAGTGTAGTACGGGAGCAAAAGAAATCAGTTGAGATATGTATGCTATTAGTAGTAAAAAATTGTTATACAGACCATGTGTGTGCGTGCGCATACAAGAAGCTGTGATGTCAGTGGTTATTATGAAAAAAGGTAGCCATAAATCTTCAATGTAAGTATCTCCAAACGTAGCTTGGATGGTTTTATTGAAATCTTTTCCTGAGAACATTGATGTCATAGGGTATGTCAAGTCTAAAATTTGACGCCACCACTGTGTCATTTTCTAGAAATTCCAATGAAATCATTCAGAAGATTAATAAATGATTCATATTAAGGAAAAGATTATAATCTAATTAATTGATCAATTGATTAATGATTTTACTTTAGACCATTCTCGAGCTTTCTGCGTAGTTGTTGTAATATTCTTTTCCATGCACCATAAAGCTCCCATGAAGGATCCAATGCTTACACCTCCAACCATGTCAATAGGAATTCCTGCTTCAAGAATTGCTTTCAACATCCCTATATGTGCTGCTCCTCTAGCTCCACCACCTCCTAGTACAAGTCCCACTGAAGTTCCAGTTAACCACCTGGCTAATCTGCTGAAATCACTATGTACATTTGGCTCTGACATGAGGACTTTGGAGTAAAGCTCATTCTGAAAATATTTAATTAAACATTAATTTACAATCATTGGAAATAGTTGAATAAAAAACGTACAATTCGATACTGTGATCTTCGAGTGAACATTCTCTTAGGACATTGTATATGATGATGGCTAGAAACCCAACTTCGCATATTTAGCCATTCGACAGTATTAGAAGGACGTTGACCACTCTGCTCTTTATGTAATAATACCAATTCTTTTTGTGTTCTCATTGCTAACCGTTCCACTTCTCTTTCTGTACGTCCCAAAGAAGGTGGTTTATCTCCAAGACCAACGATTAGAATACAATCAGCTTGCCTAACACATCGTTGTGTCCAAGCAGTATATGCTGAATCACATTGGTACAAAGAAATCCTATGTTGATCTTCTTGTTGAGCAAGCCATGAAGTTAATCGATATTCATTGGGTGCTTCCATAATACTGGTACCTAAAGTTTTCTTCACTACGTCAGAAGTAAGCCTTAAACAAGGACCAATGGCACAAAGAGAATGATAAAGTTCGTAGGTAAATGCAGTGAGTGGCACATCATCAGATACAGGAACAATAGCAACTGTAGAGAAATTTACTTGGGCTGGTCGTGCATCAAATGTAGCAGCAGTAGTTCGATGTTGACCTTTTGTCGTTGGTCTACTGCTAGCTTGTTGCCATGTCCCTAAAATTCGATGACCTAGAAGATTAATTAATCTAGTCACTACAATAGGATATCTAAGCTTGATAACATTGAATAATCCTTCTGGTAACTTTGCAAGCTCCGAGTCTCTCACAGCCATCACTGTAGTTGATCTTTGTGTCTGGGTAACCATTTCTACAATGCCAACTAGATCTCCTTTACCATATTCTGCAACTAATTCTTTCTTTCCATTTTTATGTGTAATAACTGATCTCAATCGACCACTTAGTACAATAAATGTGGAGTCAGACTCATCTCCTTGACGATAAACTGCTCGTCCACTTTCCAGAAATAGCCAATCCAGAGCAAAGTCAACTTGTCTAACAAATGGACTTAATCTTCGTACAACTGTATGAGCTACGTGCAAAACAACAGTTGGTTGTTCTCGCATAATAGCAAAGAATGTTTGTTTCGATAAAAGAGCAATTCGACTTGGATGTTTAGCACGAATTGTATAAAATGATGGCTCTCCAGTGAGGACTGCTAATCCTCCAACAATTTCTCCTTGATGAGCACTAAACATGTGAACTTCCTCATTAGAATCTCGACCTTCTGTTACTTTCTGGCTTACTATTAATGATCCTGAGATAACGTAGACTAAAGCGACGTCTTTGTGAGACTCTTCTTTCATGAGATAAGTTCCTGCTGGTACTTCACGTATCTGAACTTTACCGTCTTTTAAAATTGTATCATCCTCTAATCCAAGTTCTTTAACAAACGCTTCAGTTGCTAATTGAACAAGGTAAGCTTCATCATGTTGAGGAGGAGGTTCAATCACAGATCGTTTTCTGAATGAAGAACTACCTCCACTTGAGTGTACGATATCAGCTATACCACTGTGAAGTTGATTAATGCCTGTTAAAGGTGAGCTAGACCAATGTGCATCACATTCTGGAACCATGTCTGGTGTTGTTTGATTAGGCTGCTTCCAATCAGGATGCTTTCTTTGTCTATTTATTGTTACAGGTTGAGAACTAAGTAAATCTTGAGGAGTATCAGAAGGATCTGAAATTTCTCCTGCCGACACAGGTGCATTATCTGGAATTTGTGGAAAATTTTCACGAGTTCTCGATCGTACAGGTGATCCAGAAAAAGGGCTGTGTTTTTTTTTGTGTGATCCTTGGTTAACTAATTCTGCTGATAATCCAAGGTATTGATGCAAAGCTGTAAATGTGACTCGTTGAAGCCGTACCATAATGACCTGGATAACTCGAATAAATGCATCTGGATGGTCTTGAAAAACTTCTTGGAAAGCATTCATAGGTAACTTTACAACCACAGAATCTTCTACAGTTCTAGCTGAGACAGTTTTATAAGTGCTAGTATGACCTGTGAGTACGTCAGTAAAACTGAGTAGACTTGTTACAGATTCTCCTGTTTTCACTAATTTTAGTGGGACTTGACTACCATCTGGTCCAGTGATATAAACGTTAACTAATCCCTGCTGAACTATAAATACATTTTCGTCGGGATCCCCGATTCTAAATAGTAATGTTCCAGCAGGTAAATTTATTATTTCTGTATGTTTACATAATTTCAGGAATACCGGCTTTTCAAAGTGTCCAAATACCCTAATGCTTTGAAGAATATATAAAGCATCGGGTGGTACACGATCACCAGGACCAAAATCTTCTTCCAAGTACTCTGCAGGAGGCTCTAGCACCTACAAAAAAACATAAACCTTACTTATGATGAACATTATGAATAATTCAAACTACAAATTAAATATTGATTTATAAATATTTCACAAAGTTGTTTTTAAGTTTTAAAGTATCTATGGAGTTATCATAAACGCATAAAAAATAAACTCATTGTTTTAATAATAACCAATACATATACATTAAAGTGTTATTATTACTTCAAAACTAGAACTTGACCCTGACACATGAGTATAAAATTACATACATTGCTAAAAATTCTATGTAGTCGTTAAATATTTTTGTCAGTTATCTTATCATATTAATTTCTCGATTATTTTTTTAATGTGAAATTTCTACACGTTTAACTGATTCATTATTAAATGTAGAATAAACATTAACATAATAATGATGTAAACCGGCTTTAAACGGTCATAAAACATACATAGATGTTATTTTACTTTTGTAAACTTGTTCATACTTGAAAAAGCATGTTGTACACGGATGAAGTAAATTATTAAGTAGTTAAATATCTATATACATGATAAAGAAACATAAAAATTAACCTTTAGTTGTTGAGGAGCAGTCTCTTTTTTTAATTGTAAAAGCCTTTTGGCGAACCTCATAACTGCTCTACGTTTTTTTCCTTGTCCAGTGCCATGGACTTGTCCACTGATCGATTTGACTTTCCTCAGCATTTTCCGCCCGTAAAATAACACTTTGTCGCGTTTGCGGAATCGTGGTTTTCCTACTCCTACGAGTTCTTTCATTTCCGGAAGAAACTCTTTGTTTTTCCATTTTCGTAAAAAAAGTAATAAAATTGTACATAAAAGTGTTAAAGCTACGAGACAGATAAAAATAACAGTTCTCAAGGATATTTGGTATTCATCTAACAAAGGACCAATCCATGTTGATAGGCTGTAGGAATCCAAACTCTCATTTAATCGACTAAAGAGCTCTATAACCTGAAAAAAAACATATTGTCATTATTTAATTTATCAATCAATTAAAGTCAATCAGAAGTGTAGATATTTAAATATGTAAATATGTTTTCTAGAAGCTTTGTAATATTTTTATAAAACATCTGTAATTATTTTTACAATAAAAACAAGTCAATTCAATTACTTTATTTTGATATGCTAATTTTGTAAAATAAATTTAAAACAAATTGCAAGATAAATAAAAGAATAAAATAGTAATAATGAGTAATTTATTTGTTCAATTTACTTCCATAGCTGCTACCATCGGTGATCATTATCGTTCCATGTAAAATCGTATACAAATCGTTTTGTCTCTAATGTAACAGATCACGTTCTTGTCAGAATATTATTGAAGTTTTGAGTGTACTGACACTTAGTAAATGTCATGGATAAAATAAAATAAAAATTCAAAGAATATAATCGACCTTTGACACTTCATTCGAGTCATCCAGTGCCATTTGTGCTGAATGTACCATTACTGTCTTCTGTTTTTCATCCTTGAACACTTGCGCCCCCTTCAACTAAAAATTCAATATGGAATGTTATAAACTTTATTTTTCAATGGTTCGTAAATATAAATATATTTAATTTTTTGTTTTTTAAGAACATATTCTATGAAAAAAAAATTAATTTAAAAATTTCTGAATTCTTACAATATTCTGTATTGATTTTCTAAAACCGTTTGATTCGATTATAATAGACTGCTATCTATTGTGATTGTGTTAATTTTTAGATTATTCGAAATAATATTGAGAATATAAAATTTATTCTATAATATATGTTTAACATTTTTTAATAATTTTTTAAAGATTTCTATAAATATTCGGTGCAAAAAAATCGTTTTTCTTATTGATTTTTTGGAAATTTTAAAGTTGTCGAGTAGTTACATGCAGCGCCACGATTCAAAAAAGCGAGATAGTACTTTACAATTTCTCCGTCGGAGAGCGCTGACAATCAATTCTGAAACATCGATAAACCAGTCTCACACAAATGCGGTGAAGTACTGGATGTTGGGTGTGGGTTCAACCAGTCAGTGGTTACAATTATAGGCGGACATGTTGTAAATGTATTTTCGTCAATGTGCGCGGTGATCTGACGCATGATATTCATGCGTTTTCATTGGTTTTTATAGTCGCAAATACATTTCTCAGTTACGCAAGTGACTTTTTCAAGTGCTACATGTAAAGTGTTGTAAAAAATTTTTAGCGACTGGTTTTCCCGGGCGCAATAATGAGTTGGGGTAGTGAACTTTGGGTAAGTCGTATGCTATGGCCTCCACTTATTATCACTACCAACATACCTGGTGCAATCTGAGAGTTTTGCGTTCTTTTATGTTTTTTTTTTTATCACCAAAACATATAAGCTCGATTTTCCTACATGACTCATACATCGTTTCATTTTCTAGTTATTCAAGACGATTGATTGTAATGAATTTCAATTCTTATGTGATTTTGACATTACTCCTGTGTCCCCAACCACTTGCTCAATATACTTGTTTCCCCACGAATGAAAGCCGCGATTCAATTTATTCCTTTCCAGTTTGACCTCGTCGTCTTTTCCACTATTTCTTTCTTTTTCTCCGCTGATAATAGATACGCCGATAGGCACACATTTAGTGACTAATACATATCGTGAAAGATGTAATTTAACTTGCTAGCCTACTAAAGATAAGCTTCAGCTATATAAATGACTAAAAGACTTTGTTTGTTGTCATGTATGACTTTTAGCACTTTAATTATTTTCATTAAGAAATTTTTGTTATGATAACTATTTAAAACACTTAATCCAGTGATTAATGGTAGATTAATGTTGTATAAAATATTACTCATTCATACAAGTACATACAAAGAAGTTCCTACACTAGGGTCAATATATACAATGAGGGTGAGGCGCCCCCAACTCGTTTATATGACTCATAGTGCACTTGATACTCGACTAAACACACGTTATATTCATTAGTTAAGAGAGCAAGTTTAAAAAAAAAAAACATTTTTTTTCCCTCGATCCTTTGTAGGATGCCTTTTTTATGTCACATGCTCTCATTCAATGGCAAGATCAGTGAAATTCATTATCACGCAGTACAAGATAGACTTGTCATACAAAATCCGGTGTCCTGTATTACTATCAGGCATTGAACTTTTATGGAGAAACCACGGCTATGCAGTTCTTCGAGTCTGAAGGCCTTCTTTCGTATAGATGGCTCATTCGTGGTGTCTCCATATTCGGCTAAAACCGGTTTTAACAAATAATACCACCACGCGATGCACTACATCAAAGTTATTTTTCATTATAATCATCATAATCACGTTAAGATATTCAAAGAATTTTGTTTTTGTCATTCAACAGGATCAGTACGACAATCTGTCCCTACACACGCAGAAAGGGATAGATTTTCTTGAGAGATATGGACACTTTATAAGGGATCGATGTAAAATTGAAGTTGAATATGCCGGCAATCTTAGGTAAAAAATTAATTAAAATTAATGATATCATTAATAAACATCCTTAAAGAAGTCTTTGCAGGATGAAACTTATTTATTTCATTTGATTCTTATTGATATATAATTTATTGATATCGATGTAATGTCGATTATCATTTGAAATGTTCATTTAATGGTGGACAAAAAGTTGGAATTTCAACGACTGAATCAATAAATCACGTTTATTTTCTCAAGCGACTTGCAAAGACTTTTATTATTTTATTTAATGGTCAAGTAAATTAGTTAATGAAATCTTTAATTGTTATTGATATTGCAGAAGGCTAGTGAAAAATTATCTACCGAAAAAAAAAGAGGAAGAAGATTATCAGTAAGTATGATAGTTGTCTAAAAATAAACCTGATAGAAAGAGGTTGAAGTGAAATTCAGTGATAAACTAATAGATATTTAATTTTCTATTTAATTTGTTTCTTTAAGGTATAGTCCATGTCGTGCATTTAAAATGGAACTAAATGAAGTTAATGATCAAGCCGGTCAAAGAGAGGTGATTGCTGAAAATCTCCAAGCAAATGTACTTCGTGAACTGAATTTACTTGTCAAGGACTTTAAAGAAGATAGAAAGAAGCATCTACAAGAAGGTGCTAGGCTAATGGCTACGCTAGCTACGCAAATTGGTAGTTTAGAACGTGCTAGAAAAGCATATGAAAAAGCATATCGCGAAGCAGAGAGAGCTCTTGAAAATTACCAACGTGCTGACGCTGATCTCAATTTATCAAGAGCAGAGGTATTTTTTTTTAAAATATAGATTGAAAGTTGTTTGAATTCTTTTAATTGTTACATTGATATCAACAAGTTCTTTGTTTTTTTTTATTTGATAGGTCGAAAAACAACGTATGAATATGACGTTAAAAACACAACAGAGTGAAGAAGCTAAAACAGAATATGCTAATCAATTGCAAAAGACTAACGAGATGCAAACTTTACATTATCACACAGCAATGCCACAAGTTTTTCAACATTTACAAGTAAATAAATCAGACAATTAAGAATTATAATGATAGGAAAATGCGTCAAATGTTTATGGAGACAAAATAATAATTATTGTTTATAATTTATAGGAATTAGATGAAAAGAGAATAAAAAATATGAGAAATTATATGTTAAAATCAGTAGAAATAGAACGATCGGTAGCACCAATTATTTCTCAGTGTTTAGATGGTATCGAAAAAGCGGCCAATGAAATTAATGAAAAAGAAGATACTCTTTTAGTAATCGAACGATATAAAAGTGGGTTTACTCCACCTGGTGATTTTCCTTTTGAAGATTTATCAGCTGCAAAATCGTATGATAGTAATACTCAATTGTCAACTACAACGATGCAGCCAATTCACAATCACCTCACAGTAAAAGGTACCGTTTCAGGAGGAAAGATAAAGAAGAGAGTTGGCATCTTCGGAATTTTCAGCAGCAATAAGGTATGAGGTTTATGAAATACTCTTTACATTTATCACAAGAATATTTTATATAGCACAGTATCATTTATAATCATATTCAAATATCAACAATGCATTTTAATACCATTTACTAATTGTTGCTTGGCATAAAATTAAGTAGAATTTAGCATGAAATCATTATTAGTATATATATTATTTCAATGAAATCAAATGTATTATTATATTAATTTAGAATATGAATAATTTTTTTCTCTTTTATCCAAATTGGCGGTTGGTTCAATCTACCTACAAATGTACAATTTTTTTTCCAACACTTATGATCTACAATTTTGGATTTATTTACTATTTAGTAAGTACTAGGTTTACACGAATGAATTTTTGTTGGCTTCAAACACAATTCAACAAGCAGGATTATTCATTATATTAACAATGCTATATTACACTTATTCAACACCCCCACCGACAAAGATTTCTCTAATAAGTGCACGCTCATTCATTTAATACATTAATTATTTATTATTTTTAATGCTTTCATCATCAGAATCTTCATTTCCATATTGAATGATTCGCTTTTATTATTTAATATGTTCCATGCAAACGGCAGAAGTTGATCGAGGTGTGCATAGCTTTAAAGGTCTGTCTTATTTAACATATGCATTCTTTTCACTAATAAAGTCTGTATTTTTATTTTTTTTTCTGCCATTGATGAATCATTCCCTTTTTTTTTAAATTTGTTTTTCGATAGATTCGATAAATGTTCAGCGTTGTGATTGTTTGTGTAATCATAAATAATTAAATATCATCTTAAATTAATTAATTAAATTTTTTAGAACAATGTACCTGGATATGGTGATGGCGCAAAGGAGGATTGCAGTGATTTACCTCCAAACCAGAGGAAGAAAAGACTACAGCAGAGATTAGATGAGATTCAAGCTAAAATTCAACAAGAAACAGCTGCGCGAGACGCACTGATGAAAATGAAAGGTGTTTACGAACAGAATCCAGCTCTAGGAGATCCTATGAGCATAGAAGGTCAATTGAATCAATCCAGTCATAAACTAGATAAGTTAGGTGCTGAATTGACCAAATTCCAGGGATATTTAGATGATGCTATAAAAGCTGGTGTTGGTCTTTCGAGGTAATCATAAATTCTAAATGGCTTCTAGAAAATAAAATAGCATAAATTTAATTAGAAATATCTTTAGTCAATTAATATTTATTAATAATTGATCATTTTTAGTCCAAGTCAAGCTCCACGAAAGCCTACAAGCAACGGTTCAACAACGAGGTCTGTTAATTCACGGAGATCCAGCCATTCAGGCGGTGAGGAGAGTTTATCTCGATCTGCTTCAGATTCAAGCGTCACTAATGCTAACACAAGTCAACCAGCACATAAGAAAAGTACACCAGGCACGCCTCAACCAACGCATGAGTAAGTTGATCTGAAATTTCTCTTTCCACCCTCTCTATTCTTTAAATAACTCACATAGCTAGCAGTTTATTTTTTTTATCAATTATTTGACTTGTCAAATAAATGATTGTACGTTAGAATAGTAATATTAGGCAAATAGAGATGGTATTTGTTTTACCGTACTCATGCACAGTTCCACGAATAGCCCGGAATCTGGTCTTGGTGCTTCACGAACGTCATTACCTGGCAGCGGAGGTGAAGAATATTATGTTGATGAATTGGATGCTCAACCACCCCTTGGTACTTGTCGAGCTCTCTATCCCTTTGATGGTAAGTTTATTTTTTTTGCAAAAAAATTTCTCTTTGATTTTTGTATATTTTATTTTATGAATTCATCAGTGAATCTAAGTAGGTTTGCTATAAATACTGATTAAGTCAGTATTACTATCAGATTTAATGATTTTTTTCAAAGAAATATGTTTTATTCAGAACTCTAATTGAGTGTTGATGAATTCTTCAAAGAAAAATATTTTATATATCTAACAAAGTACACTTTAATTTAATGAATATTGTTACTTACAGGGAAAAAAAACGTTGATTTATTTATAATTCGTAATCAAATGAAATTCTTTGATAATACAAAAATAACTTGAATTAAAAACATTAATTTTATTTCTATATAAAATATATTTATTTGCGATTAATGATTCTTTTTAAAGGCTATTATAAAAAACGTTTTGTTAGAAATATTCTAAAAATAGAAGTTCAAACACAAAGATTGTACTTACGATTATTGAATTTATTTATGATGAAAGCATTTGGGTAACTTTTATCGAATAATCTTTATTTGACTATTACGTAGTAGAGTAATCTCTTGGTAACGGTTATCAACAAATCTTTGAGATAATTGTTATAAATAATACGATTCGTTATTAAAATAGAACGAACAAAAATGAATGAAATCTAATTGACTTCATTTTAAACGCACGTAAATTACTTGAATGAATCATAGTTCTTCTCAATCCGAATATTTTAAATCCTTTGTAATTTTTTTTTCCAAGTTTGTATTTATTTTCTTGATAATAAGTTCATGAAATACATATAAAATCCTCAATTCTAAAAGAATGTCAGTATTTACAATAAAATTTATTTTTAATCTCGTTAATGTATTGAACCAAATTCAAAAATGATAATTAAATTCTGTTCTTCAGCCACAAGTGAAGGATCAATACCTATGTATGATGGTGAGGAGCTTTACATGATTGAATTGGATCAAGGTGATGGATGGACAAGAGTACGTAGAATGTCGCAACCTATAGAGGGATTTGTTCCAACATCGTATATAGAATATCAACTTTACAACACATAACAATTTTCTACTAATAATACTGACGAATCTGACTCAAAATGAGCTTCGACTCGCGAAAAATGAGTCTTTCAGGTTAGTCAATAAAAATACTAATATGAAAATACTCAACTATTGCGAGAGTTATTTCGCCGAGATGACATTTATTGAATAATGTAGAAAGAATGGATATCTTTGGGACATTATTCATTGATTATAACATAGAAATTTTCATAAGAATATTTTAAGAAATCAAATAATTAAAATTATGTAAATCAGTCATATTCTAGATATATATATTCGCGATCAAGATTCGTGCAATTTTATCGTAATCATTTGCGCTTTCACGAGCGTAAATTACTAATAAAATTAGCAATTGAAGTATGAATGGATGTATGCAAAAAATGTATGTGTATGTATGCTACTTAGGACTCGTTATAATTATGGGTACTGGAGAATGATGTATATGCTTTGAATTACACTTTTTCACGTTATGCTAAACGTTTAAATTGAGGGGCTGGCCCATGTATAATCATTCATATACGTCTTGAAAAAATAAAAATAACAAAAAAAAATAATAATTTAAAAATTGAAAGAGACTGATCTCTATCAAAATATCGCTCAGAAAGTTATTTAAAGTTCTCATGAAAAAAAATATATATATATGTATATCTCATTTAAAATGAAAACATTTTAATTCATGAACAAAAAAAATTTTAAATATTTATATGGCAATCTGATAAAATAATAATCGGTGGACAATGGATGTAAAAAAATACATGACGCGAAAAAGGTGCTTCATTGTCACTCCGTTAAGCTATAAATCTTGGCTTTCATTATTGCTTTGTGAATCCAAGAAATGAAACAAAATACATTGATGTATATAGTGTTGATTGGGTAAAGGGTATACTTGAAGTAATAAATTAGTTAATGAATGTGCGCGTATCAATTTAGCAATATAAGCATCAAACCCCGAAATAATTGTGACAACATTTAATTCATTATTAGCTAATGTAATGTCCCATTGTATATTTTTTACAACCGGGACGAGTTTGATTACAACTATTCTCGTTAATAATGTACCTTGAGTAATTTGATCCTCGTGAACTGCGCATCACAAGATTACATACAGTTGGAAATAATCTAATCACTTTACGTAAAATACTGTTTTATTTCTTTCGAGACAAATGTATGTTTAATCTGTATATTTTGTGATTTTTTTTTTTATCAACTGATAAGTATTGTAGATAATTAACTTTGTGACTCATTATACGATTTATTGTAATAATTATTCTTTTCATTATAATTAATTACGATTATTATTATTATTATCTGAGATACATATACTATATATAAAATACAGGTACTAAACCAATATGAATTATTGACTGAATTCACCTATAAAATATCGAAAACTCTGTTCTCTTCCTTCGTTAACTAAATAAATAATTAACGAATGTTAGTATTGTTATATAAAAAAAAAATTAAATTGCAACACTTAAATTGATATAACAAATAAATTCATGAGGATTACATTTGCTAAATATCGTGTAATATTTTATACATATTATTGACTAGATTATAAGTATAGAAAGATATCTATAAAACATTATCATAATCAGATTTAATTTTACATCCCTGTGATACATCGTCATTATTATTATTCATCATCATTAAGCATTCTTTGTTTTTAATTGATGTATTTTTTCAATTAACAGTAGTATTTACTTTTTATAATGTGAGATAAAAAAAATATCACACTTTTCTACTTAATACCAGAAGCTATCATTTGACATTGGCAGTCATATCCAGTGTAAATCACAGCAGATTAATGATCGATTAATTAAATCGATCATCATAAGTTCTTTTTTATTAATTATATTAAGTATTTAAGTACATATCTATGCGCTTATTAAGCAGGAGCTTTTAGCTTTAAATCAATACAATTATTAGTGTAATAAATGTAATATTTGTCAACACAATTTAAATGCATTGACTCAACAATTGAGCAAGTTATCTTACTCCTATTCTGTTTTTATAATTTCTTTGTTTGTTGTTACTTTGCTTATTTAATTTCGCAAATTTAGCCAACTTGTTTATAAATAATTCTCGTAAAATTTGATCTTTACTAACTCGTTAACTATAATCTCAGACAGTAAGATCTTCCCAATCTTCAACTTGCCGAGGTGTCAGTTCAACTTGTATTGACTTTAAATTCCCAAGAAGATCATGGATCCTTGGAGGTATTGTGTTTTCTCGGAGATCTATAAATTCCAGTGCTGGTGCTCGTTTAAGTCTTTCAACATCAATGTCTGTCAAAAATAGCTTAATTTAAAGATATTTTTAGAAATAACAACACCAAGTTTTTTATAAACAATAAAAAATAATTTACCAATAATTGAATTATTATTAGCAAGAAGCCGTTTTAATTGTGGCATTCGATATGTAACTGGCGGAAGTGCAATGAACGAATTGTGTGAAATATCAAGCCTTTCAAGCTCTTGAAGTTCTGCAAGCTCTTCGGGTAATTTACTCATTTGATTGTGACTCAAATTGAGTTCTAAGAAAAATGAAAAGACCATGTGAATGAAAATTATTATTAATAATTATTAAAATTAATTTTTACTACTAACCAGTAATTAAGGAGAACTTGACTGCAAATTTAGCAGGAATTTTTGTAATAACATTACTTGACAAATCACATGATTTTAATTCTGTATGTCGCATTAAATGATAAACTGCATCAGGTACTTGCATTAATTGGCACTCAGACAAATCTGAAAATGAATTATTAAATATTATAAAAATTATCATATTTAAAAAAGTATCTCTGAATAACATCTGTATTAACATATAAATGATCCTAAAAATACTAAAATTCTAATAATATAGCATTCCTTGAATGAAAAGAACATAATTAATGTAAAATCTACACATAAGTTTACGCTTTCTCCTGCTCTCGATTTCCATTCCGGAACTACAATTAAGGCACAGTACATTATAAACAAAGAGTAAAAGTTTTTATCTATCTGACTACTATATATTAGGCATTCAAGATTTAAATTATTAAATTATCAGGGTAATAAAAAATTTATTATAATGATGATTAATAATTGCTTTTGATACCAAGATTATTGTTCTTTTGTGCCTCTTCACAACGACAAATTACTCTCGTGACTGCATTAGCCATCTTGGCTACCACTTTACTATTCTCTGCTGGGAATCTTTACACTATATTCTAGTTATACCCGTTGTTATTTTGGAATCAGTAAAAATAATCTGTACGTTATAGAAAGACCAACAAACCGGAAATACTACGTCAAAGTACTGCGAGTTTTAAATTTGAATTGAAACTTTGTTATTATCTAATAGTAAATCAAACTAATCAATCTTCCAGTGTGAATCACCAATAGATAAACGTGATATTTTCTGTACGAGGAAATGCAATGTAATGGCATTGGGCAGTAATCCAAAGAAAAGATAGCTCTAAACAGATCATTCAAGGCTGGACTTTAATGATCATTTGATCAATATTGTATTTCATCACTAGTTTTTATTATTGTTTATTATTATATACTACGGCCTTTGGTTGATTTTAAGTAAATACTTTAGATAGTATAATTGCAAAATTTTTTATAATATTAGAAAAAATTTAAATAAAGAGTGCATAAATAACAATACAATTTTTGTAATTGAATTTTAATTAGGCTTTAAAAAAAAAAAGTTGAAAGAAGAGAAAAATGTGTAGTAAAAGTAATTATTAGAAAATGGTATAGAATTAAGTAGAAATTCTAATTAAGTTAATGGTCAAGTTGAAAATCATTATTTGCATTATCACTGGTATCCTCATCACCTGTAATTTTAATCATGATTTTTCTATGCTTGGTTCTTTTGTGTGACTGATGCGTCACGCAGTACTGTAACATTAAATTAATAATAGAATAGCGATTGTTATCTTATCAATATATTTATCTCCGGCTCACCTAGATTGCAATTGTCCTGAGCTTCCTCACAGCGTGAAACGACTCTGATGATAGCTCTACCTGCCAATTGTACACACACTGCAGTTGCAACATTTCTTTCACCCTCTTCTTGAGAGATTTGTCGAACTGCTTCTGAATTATATGATGGTGGTTTCATTTTATTAGTATTATTTTTTCCTACTTTTTGTGTACAGTATTAATTTAATAAAAAAAAGGTAGAGGTATAAAATTTAATGGTTGTAATAAATTAAATGAATGCGTAATCACGAGCTCTTCCGCATCTATCATGTGTAGAAGACGAGCATTTCCCACGAGATAATCCGTTGATTTCCAGTACTTTCACTGCAGCAAATGAACACGCATTATATCAACACTGAACTCAAGCGGATTATAATGGAAAAAGGCTGAAACTTTGTTGTTTATGTAAAGAATCACTCGTTGGCACTGGTCTGCATCAGAAGGCACAGTGCTATTTAAGCTTTCTCGCAATCTCCCACCGGACAAGCACCTTGGATCAGCTGACTTTGTCTTGGCTTCCTCTTTGTTTGAAAACAACGGCAGACTGCATGTCACTTCCACGTGGATACACAGTTAAGCTTTTATCAATTGAACATCATTATTAGTCGTAAAACGTTAAAATGTAGTAAAGCATAAAATAAAATATAAATGTTGTTGATTGATTGAAAACAGGTGATATATAACATATTCAACAGTTGCACTAGTTGCACATGTTTGAATCTATACCTAACAGGGACAAAATGTTTATGTACTTGACGGTATACACTTGGAGATGAGCCAGAAAATACTGCGCGTGTATTTTCACGATAAAAATAGATTGTCGAGCAAAATCCCCCATGACTTTTGCTTCTTCATCTTGGCTTTCGCGCCGTTCTACCGGTGATAAAGAACATGAAAGTATATGTACGATCTTGTTTATCTGTAGACAAACGTACACAGAAAAATACGAAATGACGTGCGAGAGCAAATTTCCGTTTTGAAATTGGAAAACCTTGGCTGGCTATGCTCATATCGTCATCCAACTACAAAAAGATACGTAGTGAGGCATTTTTTTATGTCTGTTCGTTGGCTCTTTGTATTTCGACTAATTCTACGTCTTTGACATTTTATTTATTTTCACATTTTCTTGGAACTTAACATATCCATAAATTCATTCGAAACATTTTATTTATTATACATTTTTCTTTTTTTTCTTCATTTTATATTGTTTTTTTTTTGTACACTTATATATTTTAAACTTTATATTATAATTAATAAATATAACTATAATTATCATCATTATTAGTTATCCATTAATGTGAATAAATGGATGGAATAACAAGCACTGAGTGCAGTATTAGTTTTTTTATTTATAGCTATTTTTATATTGATGCTGGCTAAAAGTATTTTCAAAAAATTTCACTGGATTAATGCAAGTGTTTGCATTATTCTTCATATGTTTGATTAAATGAATCTCTTTATTTTTAACTGAGTTAATTTTATGAGCAAAATATTTTTAATGTTAGCATTATTGATTATTTATTAAAGAAAAATATTGTAAATATACTCAGTCATTAGTATAATTCAGTCAGCAAAAATCCTGCATCAATCCAATAAATATAATAGACAAATATTTGATTAAATGTTGAATCTATTTGAACTTGTAGATATGAGTCTTTTGCATTGGTGTTTTGATGTTTCAATATTTTTTCGTTAATTTTATACATTCAATTACTTTTAAAACATTAATTAGTGCATGAAATGAAAATACGAAATCATTACGTATAACGTATAGTGCTGTTAGCTAAAAAATAGCTAAATGTTAAATAACATCGACATTTTTTCCGCTAGTACTGTAATATTTTTTATACGTATGTAATATTGACTGTTTCACAACACTTGAATTCTAATTGTTAATCGTAAGAAAGCGAGCTGATGGAGAATTTTACGACAGTTAAAATGCATTAAATTCTTATTCATTAACATTAGAATTTTGTTTTTTAGTCCGGTCTAAAATCTCCTGAGCATGTTGCAGGCCTGCACAATAATGCAATAATAAAACACTCAGTGCTTGTACTCGTAGGTCACTTTGTGCTATTAATTTAGCACTTTCTTCATCATTACTTTGTGATAGATCTAATCTTGAGGTAGTTTCAAAGTCCAATGCTGCCTTCAGTTTTCCCATCTATTTACAATCAAATTTTAAATCAATAAAGTGTTTACCAATCAATAAACTAAACAGTAAATTAAATGTTGAACGAGTAAAAAAAAATTAATTAAAAATCAATTACCATTAAATTTATCTTATCGACTCGTTCCTCAGGCTCTAAATTATTGAATAAAAATCTTCCTGTATCTTTGGCATGAGACATGAGACCATCATTCAATTCTCCAGCAATCAATGGGGTAGCAACACTTGGTTCTGCTCCTTCCAATAAGTCAGGACTTATGCCTAATCCTCCAACGAGTGAATTCTAAATTTTATAAATGCTAATTAAATTCATCGTTTCACAAGTATAAATAAAAAGCAGTGGTTACTATTAGCTAAAATAGTTGATTAAAAAAAATATTGTGCAGACTATTTGTATTTATTGCTTCTAATATGAAAAGATTATTAAATTCTACCTTGCGCGAAGAACATGGACTTGGTGGAAGACTTCTAGATGTTAAACCACCAGTAGACGATGGGGGAGCCAGACAACTCGTACTTCCAGCTTTCTTGAGGCCCAGAAGAGTATTTGCTATACTAGCCTTCACAGCCATCATACCCTAATTAAGCGATTAATGTTGTCTATGTTTTTTAATATTCCCTCACGATATGATATCAAATGAGTATGTACATAAAAAATATTTAACAGACATATATAATTATCCTAGTTGTTCCAGGATCGAGGCAAATGTCTACAAATAACTCTATCGTCATGTTAAACATTTTATTCTTTTTTTTACAAATAATTATATTAAATTCATTCGAACGGCAATGTAGTAGAATTATGAATATTTTCATACAGTTTTACTTCTCTCAATCTAGTAATAATTATTATTTTTAAATGTATTAACCATTAATATTAATATTACTATAATTAAAACGATCATTTCTACTATTAATATTTCGTAATAATTTACTATATGTATTTAAGAGGATAACCCATCCTTGAGGCAAGTTTTTAACAATTTTTTTATTTATATAAATGCAGGAATCTTGATTACTGAGTAATTATTGTACTAAATAAAAAATTACAAAACTCAAAATTCTTATACTCGATAAATAATTAAATAAATAAATAAATAAATAATAAAGAAATATATATATATATATATATACATTTGTATAAGATGTAAATATGTATAAATAATAAATCAATCCCATTCAAAGTTTTAAAATAAATGGAAGTTTGTACTATGTGTTCAATACCTGAACTTGTTCTTCACAACTTGTAAGGGAAATCTCAGGATTCACTTCTCCTACGATTACATTTGATTCCATTTCATCAACTTCAAATGCCATATTCGTCAGATTTTCTGCTCCACATGCTCCGGATGTTTGGCAACGAGCTTCACATTTTTTATGACATACCATACCGCAGTCTCGGCATTGAACTGCATCTTTCAACCAAATCTAATAATCAAATCAAAAGTGTAATTTTAGAAGAACTGTTTCCAAAGTTTTATAGTAAATTTTTTAAATATTACTAACCTTTTTTGAACAAAAATCACAATGAGTTGCTCGATGAAAATGAGTTCGTATAAAATCATGAGACTTTTTGTCAACAACATCATTATTAACAACTGGAATGCTTTTTACTGTCTCTATTTCTCGTTTGCTAAAATCACTACTAATAATTCGTCGATTTATATTAGTGGAAATCCATCTATAAGACAGCAGTATATCTCCATAACATAGACTTGGATCAAATCCTGAGTATCCTTGTAATTTAGAATTAAGACTTGCGAAAGAAGCTTGAAAAATAAATATAAAATTTCACTTTTATCCAAATGTAAAATGAAAAATGAGAATAGCAATGAAAAAAATTTTTATCGAAGAAAATACCTGTATCCGGAGGTAAAAGTGGATGGCATTTCAGATAATGACCGGTTGTAGAAGTGGAACATTGCGCTAGTATAAGTTTTATCGGTGCATTAATGTAACCTAATATTTTTGGAGGCACATCTCCACCTCTATATCGAGCCCAAACGCCGATATTTAAATATTGAAGTTCCGAATCGATTTGGAATGTTCTTGTTTCTTCAAATGATATTGATGAAGCGAAGGGTTTTTCTTTCGTTGTTATATATAAATCTGTTAAGCTTGGCGATAAATAATCATCACTAAAAGCTGTAGTACCACTACTCGATGCAGTTGATACGTTAGATATAGTCGAGATTCTTCGTGATAGTGGTTCTGATGACTGAAAATCATCATATGATACTTGGATGCTACTTTTTCGACGTCTAAACAATTTTATTCCCGAATCTGCTTTGTCCAGTAATTCACTATCACTATGCTCTTTGAGATCAGAAAATTTAATCATAGGTTCATGTTTTATTTTTACATGATCATCAAATTCATTGGATTTAATAATATTACTGCATCTATCGAAATCAGCTTTATTACTATATTTTCTCTCAACCCTGATAATAAAACGTCTCTGGGCTGCATTTTTAACTATTTTACCAACTTGGTTCATATTAGATATTTTTTTGCCATCAACTGAAACTAAAATATCTCCTTTCCTCATTTCAGCAATAGCGGCAGGACTTCCAGTAACAATAGTTTCAACAAGGACACAATTTTGTCCTATTTCTGGAACAACTTCTTGCTTAAAAACTACCCCTAGTTGATGAGAGCTGGGCTTACTGATGATCAGATCCAAAACCATGTAAGGAACTCCGCCATATTGAGTTAAATACACCCATGGGGTTGAATCTACACTGATTGTGCAATAAATTTCAACAAGTGATGAGTCCTCTAATGGCAAATTGCTTTGACCTAAATTTAAACGTTCTACTTCCACTAGTACGACTTCTAATAAGCCTGGGGTTAGCTGAGTACTCACAACCTATAAAGTAAATGATATTAATTATTACAAGATTTATTTTATTTTAGAAATACTGACATGTGTTATTGTCATTAATTTATTTATTTTGTAATTAAAAATAAAAATTGAACAAAATTTAATTCCGGTGCTTTAATTCTTTTTAGTTAAGGATAACGATTGTATCTGTTATTCAAAGTAAAAATAAGAATTGTGACGCATGACTAATAGTGCATATAATAAACTTTGTGAGTAACTTAATTAAATACAACAAAATGGAATAAAATTGACCAATTACCTCAGATAAATCGATATCTTCATCATTTAATCTGCGGAAAAATGGCTTGTATCGCATTTTATATCGTGGCAATGTATGCTTCCGTCTAATAGCTCGCCTAATTTGTCCAGTAATTAATGAAACTATTTGTGGTTGTAATTGACGTCCTTGAAATTGCGATTGAACCTCCAATTCTAAGATAGGTTCAGAATAAAAGCTAAGTGACCAATGAGTATATGGAATTCTTGTGAATTGCAGTCTGGCCTTTCCTGTGATACGTTTTACTAGAAAGAAAAACAGTAAAAAAAATTATTCACAACAATTGTTTCTTCCTATATTTATAAATAATTGTCTTTTAAGTTATTTACCTTGTAATGAGAGATATGCTGTTTTTCCTAATAACATTTTAACATCAATAGAGAGTTGAAAATTTCCTGAGTAATGGAGATCCAATGATAAATCCAATGTTTCCAGTAATCCAGTGTCTCGATCAATAACCGAATCTGCTACTTCAAGTCCTTTGATTGTTGGAAATTGAGTACCGAGATTCAATTCTCTTAACTATTGAATAATTTTTTAACAAATATTTTTAATTATTAAAAACAAATGACAAGAGAAGTAAACTTTTTAAATATTAATTACCTGTACGCTATCAAACAATCTACCAGTTGTTGTTTGTGTTAATAATTCTTTAAATTCATTATTTAATTTCCTATATAGCCATAATCTCACACGTTCAGCATGCTTTAACTCATTAAATAAAAACTGCAGCGTTAAATTAATAGCTAAGTTTTCATTTCCTTGTGAAAAGTTTTGATGACTTCTAGATAAATTACTAGTAAATTTGTTTTTCTCGTCATTGAGACTTTTTAATAATTCGTCAGGTAATACTGCTTTCCCATAAGATGGAATTTTCCCAGGAGGTTTTGCTTTTGGAGCACCCTCGAGGTATTTTTTCAAAATATAAAATTCCACAGCCAACGTACATATTATTCCACATGTAAATATAATCACAGCCAAAATGAGCATTAAAAAAAAGTCCATAGTAATAGGACATTTACCAAACAACTAAGATACATATACACATATCCCTTTAAATAATAATCACTAAAAATTGTTTTTGGTAAACTTCATTGATCGTAAGAAACATACACTTATCATAAACATAATCGGTTTATATAATTTTTTTTATTTTTAGAAATTACTACGTTAACTGAAAACTACTCCATCCTACTGCACTAACTTGTTCTCGTCTTTAAAAGCATTTCGTAACAAATTTCTTTCCTCTATAGAGCATTTATTGATTTTAGTAGCCATTTTTCTGTCGCTACATAACCTCTACAATATAGTTTTGTTCGATAATGAGATACGAATACGTATTACATGTATACCTTTATATGTATAATATATCTACATATAGGTGTGTTTAATACTATCAAATTGACGGTAATGATAAAACGAAGGGTCTGTTCACCCTAAATGTGGGGACACAAGCACATAAACGTACGACACAATACAGTCACTCTAAAGAGCCTCTAACATTAAATATGACCTTTAAACAATTTTGATACCAATAATGAACTGAACAATGCCTAAAACAATATTCTATTATTATTGTAATAAAAACTACATTAAACACTACATACTTCAAACTTTACTCCAAAATGTTCTAGTGTGACGATACTACTGACACAGGTCATATAGTTTAACAGATGTCAAAACAAATGCTTAGTATTCGTTCATTATCTTCGGATCATTGGTAAAAATAATTAAATTGTTTATTTTATTTGTCATCATAAATTCCTGGGAACATACACAGTATTAGACAAATCTCCAAATATTATTTCAAAAAATTGAACAACAAATAGACATGATGGAGTTTCTTATGTAAATATACCTCATTAATAGTTGAATTTATCATATGGGGTATAGAAAAAGCTTAATCAGATTCAATTTCTTCATTTTATGAATAAATATTCTTCCTAATTATATTTATTAATTATTTGTACACTCGACTTCATTGATGCTTGGTTTCCCCGCGAAAAGTAATAAAATTATCATCAGAGATCTGTTGGTAATAAATAAGTCAACACCGATATGATCGACTGTACAATGTGACCGTCGGTAACAAGTTATCGAGTTATGGTAAATTGTGGGAATGTCCTCAAATCGTTTATTTAAACATTTTTAAATTGATTATTTAATAAATTAATTAATGATTATTAATTAAAATGTAATATTCGAAATGAATTAATCATTTAGAATTATCTGGATAGATGTTATTGTATGATGCTGCCTCCAGAGTGAAAGCCAGAACTTCGATTAGTTCCAAATTAATTCGTCGTCATCGCTGGCATAGGATGAATTTTCTGCCATGATTAAACTCTGTTCTGCTTCTGCTCTTCTCAGTTCATAGTGATGTTTCGCATTGTTTTTATTTTTAATTTTTTCTTTATCATCAATACAATGAAAAATATATTATAATTCGCTGAATAATTAATTAATCGTGAACAATCTGTACATAAATTACTACAATTAGTTTGATTATCGTTATTGTTGGTATTAAATTAGTGTTATGTATACAATTTAAAAAAAGTATCATTAATAATAGAAACACTAATCAAACAATCGCTAATGGATGGATCAGTATTGGTGTGGAACAAAGATTCGCATTTCATGTCAATGCTTTCAATTTCTACATAGTATTTATCGACTCATTAGCATTGGCTGACTTGAGAACTCACGTTCTAATGTCATCAAGATATATATCTACATGTACATATATGTACCAAGTTATTGAAAAAATTTATTAAAGAAATGTATTGTTGATAATGTCGTTGAGTAAACATCTATCAAACGCGTACCATCAGCTCAACTGACAGCAGGATATTCAAGTGAGAGTGAGAAGAAAAGGTTTCTGAATGTATATAAGTTGGTTAAAACTGAAAGTTGGTATTTTTTTTTTTCATTAATCTTTTCTGAATCTATTTTTTACTGATGATTTTTTTGCAGTAATCAAGGTGTTGAAATAAGAAAACGTTGAATAAAAAAACGTGATTTTAATCGAACATTTGGACTTAAAAAGATCCCACTATGGGTGGGGCCGCTACGATTCGAGCAGTTATACCAAGTGAACACAAGTGAGAGACGTAGAGAGACGCAAAACGGTCCCTCTACTTCGTGTTTTCGTTCACAAGCATTCACCAGAGAAACACAGCAATCGTAGCCATCATTGCTCTACACAACGCGGGGGTGTTTGTCTCACTTTTCAGCAACATGACGTCGCTCTGAACTTACTCATCAATTGGTACGTTACATATTTGTATTTTTATATATATCTAGATATTATAGTTGATACTATTATTATTAGTTACCTTTCTTGTGGTATAATACTTAATTTAATAATATAATTATCAGTAACATTTAATGATAATAAAAATTTAAGAAGTACAAGCTTTTACATTTACTACATTTACTGCGTTTTATTATTCATGCGCAAAGCTTTATCATTCTCTCGTTTTGATAAACTAGCTATTCTAGAATCTACATCTCCTTTGTCGCACGCGTTACGTCTCGCGCATGTCACGCTAAAGCTTTTTCTCCTCAACTCTAGTACATCTCTTTAATTATCAATACTTTAATGATATACATATACGTACACATATACATATATATTATCACTGCATCCCCTTATATCTGTTGTCTCTCATTGATGTGTTTTATTCTATTACTTGTATAAATAAATATATTTCTTACATAAAACTTCATGTACATTTATTGTGTTGTTGTTTCAATACTTAGATATTAAATTACTTTTGGATGATTAATTTTTAATTTGGGTTCACACCATCCATAGCTATTAAAAATATATTAACTATCTATAATGAAGAAGGTTAAATGGTTTTGAATTAATAAATACTTTGTATTTTTAACAATAAGTTAGTTTTTTATCATTTTTATTATTAACCAAGTCAATAAGATACGTACTAAGTTGTTGCTAAAATTGCTATGATCTTAAAAAAAGATTATTGTGCAAATATTTGTTGTAAATTTTATTTTATATTGTTTTGTTGATTTTAGTTCTTTGTGATGGATGTACTAATTATAATTATTAGCATAAATATTTAATAATTGACGGTAAATAAAGAATATAATAAATGTAAATAAAATAATTGTGATGAAAATCTACAGAGACTTTTGTAATAATTTGCTGATGATATCTTGAGTAGAAAAAGTAGAAATAACGTTTGTTTCTGTAAATGGTTTTTCCTCTCTATGAGTTTCTGTTTATTTACCTCTCATGGTATATATGATAATGAAATAGGATGTAATTGTAAAAGGATATGCTTTGAAAGGTCGTAAAATTGAGTTTTAAAATCGACCTGCCAATTAATTATTTTATTCAAAACTCTACAATAGTTCTTTTATTCTATTGGAATAATTCACGAGTCAGTTAAATTACGTAAAATTAAACAGTCACGTACCGAAACTCACTTTCCCGACAAACAATTTCAAGACGTGCACAACCAAATCGTCTTGTGGGAAACTCCATGACACAGTGAGCCTCTAACTACTGTAACGACTGTGCTGATTAATTTTTATTTTAGACTTTTTTACATTTAAATATTTAATTACATTTACACTTCAATCATTTTAAATTGAAAACAATAAATAAATGTTTTCTTTTGTCATTTTATTTAATGGAGACATTACACAAGACTTTGGTATAAATATTTTTTTTTTATTTATCGTTCATTTTGATTCCTACTGAATAGATGTTGGTCAGGGTGCTTGATTAATAATTGACAACCAATTTATTGAATTAATTCTATTGTTGTGTAATAGTCTGCTCCAATTTTTGCAACAACTTGGTACAATTTTGTATTTGTAAAAATTTGTATATAAATATTATTTTTGGTAGTTTGAAATAAAGTTAGAGAAAATGATTAGTTTTTAAAGAATACAATGACATTGTAAACTTTAAAATTTAATAAACGATCTAAAGTGGCAAATTTAGTTATTGAATATATAATAGAGTAATTGCCAAAGTTCGTGGGAACTCAAAAAATTATTTATTGGCAGTAATATTTTTTTCAAATCAATTTATAAATACAATCGCATTGTAAAAATGTCCTTTTTCCATATTCATAGTGCACGTAGTATCGAATGTAATTTTCCAATAAAATAATAAAAAAAAAAAAACAGAATAGACGAGGACATAGTTATATGAAGGTTCATGAAATAAGTCTTGAGAAAAAATTTTTTAAATGACTTGAGAGATGAAGAAAAAATGGGCCCACTCAAAGAACGAATACGCGAGTGAGTAAATCCCCTTCTTTACTGCACAATCTGGTCGTGCTGGTCGTGCATCCATACCGTCCATGTGTTTGTCCGTCCCTCTACTTTCCTAGATGTCTACTACTGTCTACGTATGTTGGGCTCTTCGGTTCAAATACGATCTACCGCCTGCTCAGTCAGTTTCAGTTTACTTTGGTCCGTCGTGCGTGGAGTGTTGGGCTATTTCGTCGATATAAGACCAAGTTATTTATTCTGTTTTCACCTTTTTTAATGTGTAAATTTCATCATATTGTGCACTTTCTTGTGTTTAACTGAGCATCTGTTTCTTTGTTACTCCAATTCCCACCTTTGGATAAAATGTTATCAACTCAGGATTATTATCCTCTACGGTAAATACTCAAAGATTTCATTATTATTTCTTTTTCTCTTCTTGCATTTATTCACAAATTATTTCTAAAGCATGTTCTTATTATTTATTCAATATTTCTGGTGATGATTGTAACCTTCACTATCAGGTTTTTTTCTAGTCAATTCAGTGGAAATTAGTTCAAGTTTCTTTCTTATCAGCTTTTTAGGAAAAATTTTTCTCAAGAAAAATTAGTCAATAAAACAATCTGTTAGACTTTCCAATTGATAGATATTTATTTAGCAGGCACTAGTGTATTATTTTTTCATCATTTCTTTTGTTAAAAGTACATAAGTTTGAAAGATAATTTTTTACATTCTTTGAAAAAAATTTTTTTTTTATTTTTCCTTTGATGCTTCGTACACATGGTTATCACAGTTGGAGCACTTATATGGTACAAAACCGTCTGATTGGAGAAATAAAGCGATACCGCGTGGGTAAAAGGCAGCAGGTGGTATCCATGCTCTTGCTTGATCTACATGAGATCATAAACCTGTATTATTCTTCAACTTAAAAAACATTTTGATAGACGGAGGGGAAGAAAAAAAACAAAGCCCTTATGATGTCTCACAGAAGTCATTTAAATTTTGAAATTTCAATTTTCCCAGGCTCCTTAAAGACGATTAGGTTGAAATATTAATGTTGGAAATGTTTACTTAAAATTTTCCCATTTATTGTATAATACTTACTTGAATTCCTTAATACTGATGATCTTGAATGAAACAAATGAAAGTAGGTAAAGGTAATGATAGGTGATCAGTGAAGGATGGATAAACTTCTTCCATTTCGAGTACATGTGTTCAAATTATACCTGATGCATATAATATAAAATATTGGAATTTTGTGGAAATACTCCAAGGAAATTCCCTTGGGTAAAATGTGTTATACCTGGGTCAGAAAGGACTATTGTTGCTTCTTAAATGTGCATGGGGATCTTTATTATTCTGGGATCCAGTCGTATGGTAAAAGATAGAAAGGAACTTATATTCCACTGAATTTCTTTTTAATCTTCTGTCTATGCTTCTTTGATACATGTGTGACTGAAGATACGGTTCAATTGTTACATTTTTTTTTCTACAATAAATAAATAAAATCTTTAGGTGAACATTCATTATGGTGATGTTGATGTTGGAACATGGATAAAAGAATTTTAAAAATCTCATTAACAAATCACATTAGAATATTATTAATGTAGAAATAAATTATGAATCATTTTTTTTTATCTTAATTTAAACCTGAAATGTATATGACAATGTCAGGTTCGCGTTTGAAAGCGACTAGCACCCGGTAAATTTGTATAGTAGGACCGTGGACGAATACCGCTGTTGGAAAGCAACGGTACGAGGCCTAAATTCCGGTCCACTTAATCGTTTTCTCGGATTTCGGTCTCACCAACTAAATCTTTCAAGCCGGTTTCCATTTTGCTATATATAATATAATATCAAGTCAGTGAACATCAAGTATTATTATTGAATTGTCACCATTTTATAGATTGCTATAATAATATTCTTTAGACCTTTTTTTATTTCTACTTTTCACTTTTATTTGCACAATCGATACATAAAGAAGAGGAAATCATTTGAGAGTGACTTTAAGAAAATAACTGAATTTTATAGGAAAATTGCTTTGATCATTATTTACTTCCACGTGCATTAATATTAAGAGATGAATTTACTAAATAATTTCGCAGAGGAAATTGGGCAAAGCGAAATAGTTGAGGTAGAAAAATATCCATAAAATTTATAAGGAATTTTTTTATTGTCTATTTATAGTCTTTAGGATATTGGCTGAATTTTAACTCTAAATAACAAACATTAAATCACACAAAATATACAACAATATATTAACATTGACAAACATATTTAAAAAAAAATAATAACAAAACAAAGAGATGTTTGATGATATAAAATAGTGAATGATGAGTCTGAATGCCCGTTTGATAATTCAGTCTATCAATGATTCGCCAGGTTGCTGTTGGCCCTCGGCAGCAGCTGAATCAGAGAATTGAGTGAGAGGGCAACGTAAGACTCAACTATAACATCGGGGTTGTTACCACGACTCCAACGATTAAGTGAGACATACCGCAGCGAATCAAGGGCCATACAGACTAGCCCTGATATATCTTAAGAATATAAGAGAGAAGTAGAGTCAGGAGAAAATGAATGGTCCGGGTAATCATCAACATCGGGGCTTAAGTATGCAGGGCCGATATAGGAACGTTGTCGGGGGAGGCTCAGCATCAGGGCCGTTGGCTCGTTCTGCACCGACCCACAGCCGTTCCAGCTGGCATTCACTCAATCAGCATTCCCAACACAACCAGCTTAACTCACAGTACAAGGAGTACCCCTATCGTCAAGGATCGTCAGCACGATATCACAATGGGTATTTCTTCCCTATCAACTCTCTGTTATAATATTATTTAAACATTTATTATATTTATTCAATTTAAATTTAATCGTCAATAATAAAAAAAAACCAACGTCATAGATCACGATCGTGTATGAATAATTGAAGCAGAAGTATCTTTTTTTTTCATTTCTGTTACTTCTTTCTATCAACTAATTATTTGTTATATTTAATATACCAATAATTGATGGTATTATTAAATATGTTGTATGGTTTACGCACGTGCACTTTTTTAAAATTGCCTTAGAATGTTTTAAATCCTTTGTGTGTTTTCTATTTCATGTTTTGAGAATGTGCCTATTAATATTATTATTATTACTATTTATATATATTCAATTTTAAAATAATACCATTTTTTTCAGGAATAATATTTTATAAAGAACAGTAATCTTTTATATAATATTTTTTTTTTTTTCTAAATTATTACTTTCTCAGCAATGAGTTTTCATCAAATATTCTTTTATTACTGTAAATAATTTTCTGAGTAAAAAGTTTTTTCAGATGCTAACATTAAGATAAATAGGGGTTCATTTAAGGCTGCAGATGAAAATAATATGACTTTGTTGTTTTAGGGATTGTCCTGGGGTTAGTACGTCCTCGGCTCCTACGGGTAAGGAGGTTTCCTATCACAGTACTCCAGGCGGGGCCAATGTAGGATACAAAGCAAGTTCTCAGCAGCACAATCTATCGTCACGTGGACCTGCACAACCTACACCCCCAACTGCATCGATACAGCCACCTTCTTCTCACTTTAGTCAGGATCAAGGTGGTCATCAGCCAAATTCACCTCCACTTAGGATCAATATTTGTGGTCAAGTAAGATGATGATGAAATAATTTAAACACAATTTTAAATATAATTATATAATTTACTTATTAGATTGTGAATTGTTTCTAGGAAAATACCATGAGAGGGCCTTTGATGAATTTAAGTCCCAACTTAAATGGCAATGGAGTGGACATAGAATATAGACGCTCATCTCAAGCCACTAATCAACTTGCTCATAGTCCTGTCCAATTGCAAACATCACCGGCATATTATAGACAAAGTAATCAAGATGATGGAAGAAAAAGTGAATCACCTTCGAGAAAACGACGAAGGATATCTCGAAATGGTTCTGTGCCTGGTTTGGAAGTTCCTGAGCCGACGTCATCAGTTCAAACACCGCCATTACATACAAATCAAGCACCATGGGAGCTAACTCAAGTGCCACAAAGGCGATCGCCACGTAATCATATGAGTACTCGTGGTAGTCCGCCAATCAGAAATCGTTATCCTCGTTATACTGATTCATTTACTCTTTCGTATCCATTTATACCTGGAATGCATAATTCTCATCCAACAATCCATAATTCTCATCACTCAATCCATGGTGGACACCACAATATTCACAACTCCCATCATAATATTCATAATTCTCATCATAGTATCCACAATTCTCATCACAACATTCATAATGGACACCAAAATCATTCTCATCATCCTGTTGGTACTGGACATCATCCTACTCAAGGATCTAACGGTCCTGTTGTTGTTGAAGTCGGCCAAGTTGGTGTATCAGGTTTAGGAGTTACTGTCAGTGGTGAACCACTTTGGCATCCGCAAGCTACTGGCTATCGTATTCCATGCCAACTTCATGGAATTTATGCTCCAACTGGTGCTCATGCATTTGCTCACTCCTGTCAGGTAAAATTATATATTTATTGAATTATTCTATTTTAATGCTAAATTGGCATCTATTACACTAAATGGACTTTCCGTTTAGCAACCTAATTGTTAAAATAAAATCTAGTAATTTGAGTCATTGATTACTCATAGGAAATAAATGTGTCACTATCATTGAGAATAAAAATTTCGTGTTATTGAAAAAAAAGTTAATTCATTTATTGAAATTAAATTAAATTTTCTTTTGTATTTTAGGTGACGCATCATCATCATCATGGGCATTATCCACCCGGACATCCAGGACACCCTGGACATAGTTTAATTAATACAACACCAAGAGGATATCCAACACCACCAGGTGGACCCGTTGCTGCTCTTCATCCACATCCTCATCCTCATCCACCACCTCCACCTGTTCATACTACTCATTATCCAGCTCACCACCAATTATCTCAACAGGTAATTATTTTATCCACTTTATTAGGGTAAAACTTCATTTATTTGAGAATTTTATGAATTACTAGCTTCAGTAATATTACATTAGTGTTTAATAACTGTTATAAAAATATATTAATATTATTTTTCAGCGAGAGGTAGAATTAGAATTAATAGACGGACCTCACCTCCATCATCGAGTGGGCAATGGTGGTCCACCACTTGCTCTACCACACTCATACTCACCTCCAGCTCTTGCTCAAGTACCAACACCACCACCACTATTTTTATCTGAAACACGCAATAATCAACTAGAACTTCTTCAGTCACGATCTCGACGTGCTGCATCTAATGTACGACGTCAACGAGCAAATAGATGGCGAGGAACACCACCTCTACCTCCTACCGGCTATCCTGGACTTTTATTACATTTCTTGTAAGTTTTTTTATACTTTTCAATCTAGTTAAAAACTGAAGAATTTTTTTTCTATCTAGTTTAACTTGTTTGAAGTTAGTAAGGTTAATGAATAATTTCAACTTTGAATGTTTAATATGGTGAATATTTAAAAATTTGAATATAAAAGATATTGTGTAATTTATTTATATTTTTTTTTCAGAGCAATGTTTAGCAATCCACCATTATCACCGTATAGTCAAGCGGAGTTATCTTCACCCGAATCTGCTGAAACAGAAAATTACGAAGCATTACTATCGCTTGCTGAAAGATTAGGTGAAGCTAAGCCTCGGGGATTAACACGGGCCGAGGTGGAGCAGTTACCTTCGTACAAATTCAACCCTGATACACATCAAGGAGATCAAACAAATTGCGTTGTTTGTATGTGCGATTTTGAACAGCCACAATCATTGAGAGTATTGCCTTGTTCACACGAATTCCACGCGAAATGTATTGATAAATGGTTAAAAGTAAGCATTATTGAATATTTTACAATTAAAAATAAAAAAATTTTTTGTTTCTAAATCATTCAATTAATTATTTTTTTATTAAATTTCAGTCAAATAGAACTTGCCCAATTTGTCGTGGAGATGCAGGGGATTACTTCGGTAATAGTGGCACAACTAATGATTGACCTAGGATTCTAAATATTCTTTAACGCTAGCAATCATCGAGATTACGGGTGCCTATTTTCCTGCTCTTGGTATGTGCTAATTCATGCGGTTTATCGATCACCATCACATCATTCCTCCGTCCGTTTTCAATCGTAAAACGTCGATTATATTTGAAAAATTCATCACCTTTGTTTAATCTCGTTTTGCATTTTTCCATTACTAGAAACAAATTTAACAAATAATTTCTTTAAAAAGTATGTTATGATATTTAGTTGAATTGAATTACAAAAAGAAAAAAAAATGGTTAATTGATTTTAGTTGTTTGTTATTTAGGAAAAAAATTTTTTTAGTTAGGAATAATAATAAATTGGTAGTTGGAATTATTTTATAAAATTCAGCTTTCAAGAACCCTGAAAAGCCCATTTTATTTTTTCCACTTGTCATTTGTACATAAATATCTACGTTCATATGATAAATACAGGTAATACTACCAAATAGGATTGTATGTTTGTGAATATGTGAATTAATTGAATGAATGTATATATGAATATCATTTATAGCTGTGAATTTTCCTCAGCATTAGTATTTCAATAATTTGCTTTGTAAACTGGATAACATTAATAATACAATACGTATTATGAATTTTATATTATTGACACTCTTAATGAGAATGCGTGACACCTTAGGCCATCTATTTTGAAGAAAAAAAAGCCGAAATAATAGAAAAAATTAATTTATTCCATTAAGAAAATAAAAAATATTTTTTTAACATTTCTATTCTTAACTTTACATTTCTAAATAATTTTATCAAGTATAATCAAAAGTAAATAATAACAAAAAGAACTCATAACGCAATTTTTATTTCACATTTATCTACCTCTAATGAAACTAAATTTGTTAATTAGCATAAATTAGTAATTTTTGTTTTATTTTTTGTACATTAAAAGTAATCATTTCAATAAAATTAGTATTAACTAATAATTTCTTTTGAATGATGGCCGCTTTGTAAAATAATGAAATTTTTTATTTTATTATTATTATTATTTTTAATTATTAAAACTGTCTACGTTGTTTCTCTTCCGGGTGCCTTTGCCATATTATTGTTAAATATGGTGACAAATATAAGTGGCATATTCAACAAATATACATGAAATAAACAAAATGTCTATACCAAAAGAATGAATAAAATACTTAGACATTAAATGGTACAAACACATATACGTAAATAAATTAATCTGGCTGATTAGGAATGTTTATTACCATTTTTTCAATTAATTGTCACTACCACTAAATAGTTGAAAATAGTTGTTGCTAATTTAATACAATAGTGATCATTAATGACCATTTAAAGTATACAATCTACATATCATTTTTTTAAACAATGGTTTTTTTCTGTTGATTAATAACAATACGTAGATTTATGTAGAAATTACAATGCAAATAATTTTATTACTAAACGTAAATGTGAAAAAAAATTAGAATTAAAAAAAATTGAAAGAAACACTGATGAGGGACAAGTATTTTCAAGCAATGAGTATTAAAAATAGTTGATTCATCTAGCAATGAATTAACTAAAAAATAATTATCATAATATTTTGTTAAACCGTGGCTGCAATTGACGATACTGTGATATATTTTCATTATGTATAAAGTTGGTTATAAATATTTGTTTTTCATTATAATTATTATAATTATTATTATAACTAAAACTAAAGAAACGAATGTGGTAAATTAGGCGATACATAACAAATATTATGATGTGCAATTGTTTAAAAAATAATTTTGATTTTTACTCAGCTTAAAAATATTTCGTCTCTCAATACCATTTTATTTAAAAACAATTCAGTGTAATTTATTAATAATAATCATTCATGATTAATATGTGTATGTAATTTTGATTAACATATTTCTACAATATTTCGCCGACTTGTTGTATTTAATTGTCTACTGAAATTTAATATGAAAAATATGTTAATTAATATAATCTCATAAAATTGATAGAAGTGCACTCTGTATTAGTATAAAATGTTATTTTTTCATAATACATAAGTATTGGCTTTACTAAGAACTTAGTGATAAAATTTTCAAAGTTACTGTGTTAAATTTTTCATATTCGCGTGATTCAAATATAATAAGAAGCTTTAAGTCGGTAATTATCGATATCCGAAAGAATTTAACAATTTTTATGTAATCTCCATGAAACTACAATTTTCAGGATATATGATCTAAGAAAGAAAAAGATCAATAGGATGTTATAAAAAAATTTTCATACGCCTACTTAATAATTAGTAATTTTTATATAGAAAATTTAGTAATACATGCTCTTCTATTTATATTTTATTTTTATGTTGATTCATATTTTTTTTTAATCCAAATGGTGCTTTTTAGTATGCCCGTAAACCAATAATAATTGTTGATTAATCTTGGTATTTGAAAAAATAACAATAACGAGTGAAATAATGTGAACATAATAAAAATGTTCACTCGAATTAAAAGAAAAATGAAAATCAAAATAATTCTAATATTGACTGTCATTCACTCTCGTCACTTAAAAGACTACTAGCCATTTTCTATCTCATCATTTTTGTAATAAGTATCATACTAAGTTATTTTTGATTAATTTTTTTTGTTAGGTTTGTTCATTATTTTTCAAACAATTGCTTACATCATACATCATAGTTATATCGCTGTTAGATTTAGTTTCAATTATTCGACAATATTTGTATCTGTAAATTTGATTGGAAAACAATTAAATACAAGATCTTTCTTTACTTAGATTGTAAGATATGTAATCAATTCGTTTTTTTTTTTTTGTAATAATTAGTATTGTTATAACATTTAACATTAGTGTAATATAATCATCATTGTAATTATTATTATTTTTTATAATAATTAATGCTTTATTTTATTATAATTGTTATTGTCACACTCATAAAATGAAATTATTAAAAAAATTGATTATTCATAAAAAAAATCAGTATATTTTCTTTAGTTTTGTGATAAAAAAAAATACTTAACAATATTCTTTTGAACGTGATTCAATAATTTCCAAATTATAATATCTAGATATTTAAACATAAATGTAACGATGCCAAACAATATTTTATTAATCTCATTGTTCATTTCTTTTTTTTATTGTCAATAATTGATCATTATACCTAATCCTATTTATGAAACGGTAATGACATGCTCTTTCAATGTTTCATCCCAAAAAGATTAAATAAAACTTGCGTATAATTCATATGATTGCTAAAAGAACATCATTTACATAGCATTCAAATACAGCTAATGATGATAAATTATTTACGGTGAAGGATTAATCAAAGATGATAAAAGTAATGAAACAAATAATATTGATACTGATAATAAAATAGTTTGATAAGAAAAAAAGAATAGGATTATAGCTAAAAGTGCTTTTCACAAAATGTTTAATAAAATAGGAAAAAAAAAAGATGAATAATAAAATTTTTAATTATGAATGTGTGTATGTGTAAAAGTGTAAATGTATATTAAAAGCAGTGTACAAAAAGCAATATCTTCATATAGTTGTTAGAAAATTAAAGATGTCATATGATTATATGCTCATGATTAAAATAAAATAAAAAATGCATCAGCAACGAATTATCAAATATTTTATCGCAGTAATCAATTTTTATTACTTTAAATTTCCTTCTAGAAATATTGTTTTCATATTAAAAATTGAATAGGTTCTGTTGAATAGAAGAATAACAATTTTACTTCATAAAAGTAAGTTCACATAAATTATTTATTATTTTTCAATATACATGTTTTATCAATATTATTTTGGTACTTATATGTCCATTGATGACTATTGTTATATATACATATGCTACTGATTTTGGAAATTTTTATATTTTCGAGTTTTAGAATAAAATAAACATTTATGCATAAAATAAAAAAAAACAATAACAAAAAATTTATAAGTTACTGGATAATTGTTTAGTATTTAAAATTATGATAGATACCCGTGAAAATTAAAATAAATTTCAATGAATATTTTTTATCTTTATCATTTCGTTGTCTTTTGTTGGTTTTGGATCGTTAACCTGGCAATTTCTTCACCAAGAGTATCAATATTATCCTGTCGAATAAATTATTGTAGTTAATAGAATCAAATATAAAAAAATTATCTCTATAGCTGAAGATAAAATACCTTTAAAGTAATATTTTTCAGCAAAGCATCTTCTAAAACTGTTTGAAGCTTTTGATTTATTTCCAAGGATAATTCAAGCGTCATGTTATCATCAGACACTCGTTGGTGATATACTGAAGCCATAATTCCTCCATGTTTTATCAATTCAGCCTAATAGAGAAAATGATAAATGATAATTTGCCAATAAATAATTATCCATTAACAATAATAAATAACTAGAAAACTTAAAAAAAAAATCATTTTCTTCTATGCATTGATTTACTTACAGCATCTCGATGACTCTTCAAATTCTTTTGTTAGCAATAACAAAAATAAGTATTGTATATTATTAATTAATAGAGTGATATTAGTAATTAAGGAGCTTATTTTTAGATTAATTATTACACTACTTCTACTACTAAAGAGTTTTAGAAAAAAAAAGATAGATTACCTTATATTTATCTCTTTCATTGCTTCCCATCGCATCGAAATTTTCGGTCAATATATAGTTTTGAATAATTTTTGTTTTTTTTTGCAACTCTGCAACCAATGCTCTTGTATGTTCCTCTAAAAAGTCCAATTTTTCCGCGCGTTTAACATTGGTGCGTTGCAGTTTTATTATTCTATCTATCAAAGCATTTTTATCAAGATTGTTGTAGGATAATATTTCATTGTTTCCTATAGTATCAAATGATGGAGTACCATTCTGCGATACGTTTTCTATAACAAATTAAATTAATTAATTAAAAACATTATCACGCGATATTTTCAACATACAATATTTATATACATATAAAAAAATGATAAATTGAATTAAAAATCATTTAATATTACCAGCATTAAGTGATGTACTCGACGCTGCTCTAGAAATACCGTCACCTTGAGTACTCAATGCGTTAGAAGATTTGGCTTCAAATGCTTCAAGTTTTTTACGTAGTTGCTGTAACTCTCGGGTCAATTCTTTTATAGACATCTGATGTTTCCGTTTTAAGACAGTATTTTCTCCTCGACTATCTTCAAGCATTTGCGTAAGATTTTGAGCTAACTGTGTTTGCTCTGCAACATGTCTAGCTAAAATTTCGCACTCTTCAATCCTTTTATTTTTCTCTGCTGTCAAATTATCTTGAAGTGTCTTCACTTTGGCCTTCAATTGAACTATGGTTTCATGCAATGGGCCCTGTTCCACTTGAAGTTGATTAGCTTTTGCTTCAATGGCAGAAAATTCTGATTGTAGTTGAACATTTTTATCTGTTAATTTTTGAGTAAATTCTAACATATTTGACTCTCTTTGTAAACAACATTCCATATCTACTTGCAATTCTTTATTCGCTGATTTCAATTTATTTAATTCAGCTTGAGTTGCAACAAGACATTCTTCTTTATTGATTAATTCTAATTTTAATTTGTTTAAATTACAAAGCTTCTCAGTTAATTCAATTATTTCCTTTTGTCTTTGATCCGAAATAGCCTTCAAATTACTGATATTATTTTCATAATCAAGTTTATTTTTTTCTAGCTCTTCAATTTTTAGACTTAAAGTATTATTCTCTTCCATTAGAATATGTTGTCGATTTTTTAACGTTTCAACTTCTTTGACTAATTGTAATCTTAACATTTCTTTATCTTCAGTTACATGCCGTTCTAAAATAAGCTGTGCATGCTGCTCCTTCAGTTGGTGGTCTAAAGTTACAGCTTTGTTTTCTTCTGATTGTTGGAATTTCTTTATAGTATCATGAGACTCTTTTCGAATTCTTTCAAACTCTTCTTTCATTTGATTTATTTGAATCAAAGCTTTGTCTAATTTTTCATGAGTTTCCTTGTGCATTTCCATTTCACTTTTTAATTTTGTCTGAGTCCACTTGAGCTTAACTTCTCTAACATCTATATCTTCTTTCAATTTATCAACTTCTTTTTGTAATTCCAATAACTCTTTACTTCTCGCATCAAGTATGTTACTAATTCTTATACGTTCATTATGAGCATGTTTCCACTTACATTCAAGCATTTCATAATCTCTAGCTAAATCCTTTATTTTCTTTTCTGCCAGATTTTTAGCTTTCTGATTGTCCAATAATTGTTTCTCACTTCCTACATATTTCATTACCATACTTTCTTTTTCCCTATTAGCCATAGCTAATTCTTTTTGCATTTCATCCTGATGTGTTAGTGCAGTTCGTAACTCATTTGTAAGTCTTTCTATCGTCTTTTCACGATCATCAATATTACTTACCTCTTCTTCACCATTATTCACCTTAGACGTACAGCTTTCCAATCGTTTTACTTTTACCTCCAACATCAATTTTTCGTCTCGCATACGTTTATATTCTTTTAACAATTCTGTATAATCCATATTCAAAATTTCGTCCGTTGTTTGCTTTGTTAAATCAACTTCATCAATTGGCTTGATTTTATCTTCATGAATTATTTGAGAAAAAACTTTATCTTTACTATTTAAATTATCTTTATCGTTTTCAATACTGTTCGTAATTTCAGTATTCAATAATTTCTTATTTATATCATTTGATTCATTAATACTACCATTTTCCATGTTGTGATGCTGTTCATGTTGAGCTATTTGATTCTTTTCATTCATATTAACACTTGATCTCATTGGGTTAGATTCTTGAACTTTTTCTTCTGAACTTTTCATTGAGTTTGCTGTAACTGTGTATTCTAGTCTCTTTTTATCGTTTAAATCATTTCGTACAACTAAATACTGTGGTAATAAAGTTCTTTCCATGATGTTTGTAGACTTTTCAGTGATAAGATTAAATAAATGTTTGCTTTTATTTATAAAAGGTGTACTAGACTGTATTAAATTAATCGAATTTGATGGCAGCGAAAATTTGACAAATTTATTTTGGTCATTTAATGTTGGCTGTTCAAAAATTTTATTTTGTTCTTGGCCATTACTGACAGATGACTCTATCGAATTATTTACAGCAGGCAAATTTGCCATTGTTTTATAATCAGTAGAGGTATCCATACTGGAAGATTCTAATGTAATACTTGGTTTTATCACTAGTTGCATTGTATTTTGATTAAAGTTTTCTTCAACCAAAGGCGAAACATTGCTTTCTATTGCTTGGCAAGTTTTTAAGGCAGCAACATCCATTTTTTCAGTAAAATCATCTGTAAACATCATCAATAAATTTAATAGATCAATATTTTTAAAAATTATTTTTTTCCGGTGAATGTAGTTAAAATTAATTATAAAAAATCTAGTAAAATATTCATACCTATGTTTGATGATTTAATGTTGCAATTAACATTGTCATTAGTAGGCAATAGTCCTTTGGACATGTCAGGACACGATGTTGATACAATATTGTCAATCATATGACATGTATTACTATCCATTTCTATGTTCATTAATTTTAATAACTATGTATCAAAATTATTAAAGCTGTTCTGCATTCTTGATAAAGCTTAGATATAATACTTGTAAGAATTCTTGACTATTTTATTAACATCATTTCCAAGAATACATTAGTACACAGTTCAATAATATGCTTGGAAGAATATCATAGGAAATTTCAATCATTTATTTGTTTACTTATCACTATAATTTTTTAGTAAATTTTTTTATCTAGGATATCATACGCAAAATAACTTATTATCAGCTGTTATAATTACAGCGATATATTTACAATTTTCCATCGTTTACGTCAGTTATAACACTACTGTCACACTTTCAACCATTTTTCTTAATTCTCTATTGTCTGTCTCTTTCTAATCGACCTCTTTGTTTAAAAAATGTCAATAATGGTGGCGAATAAACTTTCTGACTTACCGGCAAAAAATAAGTTATCGACCGAGCGGAACTTCATTCCGCGAATTGACCGCGTCGGTTTGCATTTCCAAGAAAACTTCGACCGTTCAATTATTTTAAGTTTTCGACAAAGTGTTTTTGTTGTTACATGATAAAAAATTATAAATTTCTCTTTTAAATTATTAATAACTATTTATTGTAATGTTTTATATAATATTAATTTATATAATTCTATAATCTTTGCGATTAAATAATCAAAATAGTAACAATTATTATATTGTTTTTGAAAATAAAATACGTAATAATTTTGCGGACGAAGAAATAAATGTGGTTACTTGTTTAGAAGTGAGTGATGTATTTTTATTGATAGTGATTTGTGAATAATAATAAAAAAAAGTGTACAGAAACTTTTGAAGTGCAATGTGGGATTAAATTTAAAACTTAATGTAACATAAATTAAAAAACTAAATTAAAAGTTACTTGGATTACTTGCATTCTTCAAGAAACAAAATAGCAATTGGTAAGTGAAGGCACAAAATTTCATAACTTTTAGTTACCATCTATCATGATTATTTTTCCTAATTTTACATACGAAAATTATGCTGTTTTATTTTATTATGCAATCGTGAGTATAAAAAAAATAATAGAAAGACAGGATTTTATACAAACAATAATCTACATACTAGTTGATTTACAAGAATACAATTATCTAGCAACTAATTAGTATTTTTTACTCAAAATTGAGTTTTAAGTATCATGAGATTTGGATATAAAATATACTCCATTTTTTTTTAATTGTATATGATCTAAAAACTAATTGATTTATTTAAAGTTTCGATTGTTGATCTTTGCGTGGTATATTGTTAAACGGCTTTAGCAAAGGGAACAAAGATTGGCTGGATTTGAATTCAATAATATCAGTAATTAATTTTGCACCATTTGCAATATTACTTTCAACCGATTCTTCAATTTCATTTGCCATACTGTCACTCAATCCTGCACCACCTTCTGCTGTAGAAACTACATGAATTGTTAATTTACGTCTCATCGGAGATTTTTGATAAATTAATTCCTAAAATGAATCATTTTCATTATTCTTAAATCATGAAAAATCAAATTTTATATCCAATAATAATCATTAAATAACAAACCTTGAAAAATTGGATGATTTGATTTTTATTGATTGTCATAAGATATGCAACTTCAATATTATCACGATCGAAATTATATTGCCTACTTATAATTTCACTCCAAAACATACCAGACAGTATACTCATCATTTTTGGTTTTTCCAAACGTCGAGTTGCTAAGGATGTTTTATGTCGATTGAATTCCTCATCTGACATGTTTACTAGACGATCCTTAAATGAAATAATTTTTATTAGAGATAATAGACAATAAAAAACAATTAGTCTCTAAAAAACTTACCAGCATTGACTCAATAAAAGTCTCAATTCTATGTTCAACGTATGAAGGATGTCTATCACTTTGTACTATGATTCTCAAGCCTTGTGCACCATTACTCTTCCTAATACCACTATATACAATATAACCCAATTGTTCTTTAGTTCTTAAAATGTTGAAACATGGTTCTGACATTATTTGTGCTAGTAATTCTAAATGCATATTTGATTCAGTTGACTGCAATCCACTCTGATAGTATACTTCTGTACATGATGACTTATGCAATTTATTTTCAATTTTATACAAAAAGTTGGCTCCTATAAGTGAACAATTAATATTTTATTAAGTGTTAAATTAAATATTTAAAAAAGATCTTACCATTTTCTAAACTTATTTCACGTCGTAATAAGAGTTGTTGGGGTAATAGTGGAACCATAATCCTGCTTTTTTTGTCATTCTGCGAATCTCCAGTGAGTTCAGACTCAACTAACTTGACAGTTTCCAAAGCTTCAGCTTCAGTAATATTACCATGAACCAAGCATTCAATATGAAGCTTAGACAGCAGTTGAGGAACGAATTCTTCAAGTCGTTCAACAGTTAAATAAGTTGTAGCTTCTAGTAATTCTTCTTTTGTCCAAACTTGATCAGCTAGTAGAACTGCAAGGTAATAAACAGCATGTTGGTATGGCTGTTCTGTTTCAAAATTTTTTAAACTTCTGATATAGTGTTCTTTTAAAATATCAAATCGTTTTTTATCAAAAGTGAAGTTGATCATCTTGTCCATAATTTTTGTAAGGAGAATACGATGTTTATCGTGATATCCACCAATAGATAAAGTAATACCATATTTATTAGGAATTAATTCCCAACTAAGACCTGCAAGACCTGCATTGTAAGCATATTCATTCATAGAGTCTTTGAATAATTGCGTATACATGTATGTTAAATTGCAGTTGATAGGATCAAGAGCACTTAGTGGGCTTATGAAATAGAATGTTGAATTAAGTTTTGGAAGAAGAAATTCATCGTCTTGTTTGAACCACACCCGCATTAGTGGAGTATCTTCAATGATGACTGGGAATTTCTCAACCTTAATACTTTCATTGTATTTAATATCAAAACATGTGGGAATAAATTCATTTTTAGCTGGAAGTTTAAGTTCATCACACAAACCAGGATTACTCCATCTTTCAATAACATCATCAGGGATTTTTTCTCGACAGAATGACGTCCCATACCAAAACTCTTTTTCATTTTCTTTCTCCTCGAAAGCTTTTCCCACAATGTGAACTCGAATATTCTGAGGTTTCAAGTAGTCCATAACTAAATTAATAAGATCCGGACGCCATTCAGTGGGAAGACATGATCCACTGAGTATTTCTTCCATAGGGTAATGTTGTAAAGCACGAACTGTTTTATTGACATATGCCTGTGGTGATGATTTTTCTCTAAAATTGAACTCCATTTGAGCAATTTGTTTATATTCTTCGAAAATCCACTCTATAGGCCCTGCCTGACGCAGCATATTTATATACTGAAATGTCAGAGTTATTATATCATCAACATGCTGAATACCTTCTTCTGTTAAATCAACAGCAATGTTGAAAAAATTACATCCCCCTCGAGCAAGTGTATACATCCCTGCAACAAGAGAATTACTCCAGCCAGCTCGTTTTAGAGCTGACAGTAAAGATCCATCACCTTCATGACCAATAAGATGAGATATATAATTCGCTGGACTTGAACGGAAATTTTCACGTAAATCCGGCAATGGAAACATCATTTTCAATTTTCTTACATCTTTTATTGGTACTATAAACCATTTATGTTGAAACTGATCTTCATTAAAAGGATGTTCAGGCCATTCTGGTGCTTCAATTTCTTTATTTTTTACTTCTGAAAACATTTTTACTACTAATTTCTCTAGATCATCTAAATTTTCTTTTCCAAGAACACTCAAAGCCATAATATTTGCTGAATACCAATCTTCATGAAATTTCAACAATGCATCACGTACATTTGTCCCTTTTTCTTTAGGAATGGTATCCAAAGTTTCCTTATTACCAGTTCCAAACTTAGCGTAGGGATGATTTGGGTTTGCTGATGATCTATCTATCTGTTCTATTCGCCAAGTATCATTAGCTAAATTTTTCTCATGTTCTGAATCTACAGCATTCACTTCTAACTCTGTTGAAGATTCAGTAAACAAAGGTTTCAAAAAAAATTGAGAAAATCTGTCCAAAGCTCCTTCTAAGCTCTCTGGTGTAACATCAAAATAGTAATTTGTGTAATCTAATAGAGTTGAAGCATTACATCCACCTCCATGTTGGGATAAGAAAGAGGTGTATTCACTAGTACTTGGATACTTTTCAGTTCCAAGAAATAGCATATGCTCACAAAAGTGAGCTAGTCCAGGAAGATCCTCAGGATCACAGAAATAACCTATTTAAATGAAATAAAATATTAATAGGAATAATAAAATTTGCTGCGTTATAGCCATTAATTGGCTTATTCTCATTCTAACCACTGAAACATCCATCTTTGATAACTCACCAACATTGACATTTAATGCAGCAGCACTTTTATCTGTCGTCGAATCACTTATTAACAATACTTTCATGTCATTTTTAAGGATCAATCCTCGATATAATCTATTATCATTCGGCGATTTTTTTATGTCTTCATATCGCTTTTTAATCAAACCTTCATTGTCCATGACTTTAGGTACTCCACATTCCATTGAAGAATATCTGCAAAAATTACAGTTTAATATATTATTTTTTTATCCACTGCACATAAAATTAAGTTATTTAAACTACTCAAACCTTCTGGAAAATATAATAAAACTTACAATGTAGGAGATGTTGAATTTGATGAAATTTCGAGATTTTCACCTAATGAAGTCATTTTGTAAAATAATTTTTAAACTATTTATTTATTTATTTATTCAGAACAATTTTTCATTCTTTTTAAAAGCAATCGAAAAAGGATAATACTCGAGTGAATTATTGTTATAATATGACACTATTATGTTGATTGAATAAATAAGGATAACGTGACGTTGCTGTTAAAATGTATCACCTTGACATTTTATAATTCAAACCACAAAGCTAAAATAATGTTATATGATAATTCTGATATTTTTCAACGTCTTTACACTCAAATGACTTTTTTTTTGTTTTTTAATTCACATAAAATATTACAAATAATTTTTCTAAAAACTTTCTAGTAATTTTACTTCATTAGAACTCAAGAATTGACTAATCGAATAGTATCAATGAGTCGTTTGAATCAAATAACTATGTTACCCACAATAATATGTTACTATTCACACGAATGATCTCATAAACTTTTACAGCACAATAATCTAGTAAAGTATGAGTATAATGTAATAATAAATGTATAGAATATTAGTCATAGTCAGCTGATTCAGTTTTTTTAACACTATTCCCTCTTTTTTTATTCGTGACCTCAGTTTCATGAGTATATGCATAATATGGATTATAATTTTTACATGCTCCTCGTGGTATTATGGTAAAAAAGTTTTAATCAATGAACATTTTTTTTCTAATGTTTGAAACTATTGGAAACGTATGTTTATGTTATACATTATACAAAAATATAATTTTTACCTTATTAAAATTGATGATTCACGAGATTTGATGATTAATTTTGAGCTGAATGATAAAACACGACCAAAAAACATTTGACGATGATTATGACATAAATTTTATTTACCAAAATGAAGAAATTGGTTTTTTCAAAAGGTTTCGTAAAATGATACTGATTCACTCAATTTTAAGTATGATATTTAATTACACGTGTTTAAAAAAAATAAATTCAGGTTATTTATTTTAATTGGAAACTCAATCATGAAGTTAGCTACACAACTCTTTCAAGAAATATTTTTAACAATTTTACATAATATATAATTATATGAATAATTTTATTTATTTTCTACATCATTGGATTGATAAAAAATTATTATTTCACATAACTGTAACTATAAATAAAATATAAAACTGGATTGCAATGAGCATTAAAACCTTGAGGAATTGAATAATTTGATCCTTATATAAAGCAGCGATTGTCTTAAGGTATTAATTTTCTGTATTGTTGTCTGTTTTTTCGATCAAACTTACTTTATCGATTACCTAATTTTTATTTTATTATAAATAAAAGCCACCAGAAGACCTTGAACTTCAATGTAATAAGATATTTTTTATAATAAATAGACAACTTTTAGTGGTATATTTAAAAATGATCTTTATTGTTGTATCAAACGGCAAAATTGTTTAACATAAATTTTATAAACCTTTAGCATTGATTTTATAGAGAAAAATAGTGAAAAAAATGAAGCTTAACGATTGTAAGTAGCAGATGAAAGTATCATTGAGTGAGTCAATAATAATGTTTTAAAATATATAATCGAATTGATCGAAATGCAAAAGAATTACATGGGTCTACCCATTCCACGACCTCTAGGCATTTGTGGTGCGCCATCACCGCTTTTAGGATTCTTAATTGTCTCATCAACAGACAAAATAAGACAAGCTGCTTCGCTGGCTGCAGTTAAGGCGTTTATCTTAACAATAGCAGGTTCCCAAACACAAGCCTCCATGTTATCAGCAACATCTTCAGCCATTATGTCAACTCCATACCAACATTTTCCTTGGTGATGTTTTTGTCGTAATTTATTTAGAATAGTTGTTGCATCAAAACCAGCATTGTCACAAAGTTGTCTATCAGAATAGAAAAAATATCAGTAAATAATGTATAAAATTTATTGACTGATTAAAAATATAATTGAATATACCTTGGAATGATTTCGAGAGCACGCGCTATTGCTCCAATCAACAATTGTTCTTTACCAGCAATTGTTCGTGAATAATCACGAAGAGTACGGGAAAGCTCAATCTCAATTGCTCCTCCACCAGCAACAACAGCATCATTCTTAATCATACGTCTGACAATCATGATAGCATCATGTAAAGATCTTTCTGTCTCTTCAAGGAACTGTTCAGCACCTCCGCGTAGAATTAACGTACAGGTTTTAGCATTGGGACAGCCAGTGAAGATGTTGAACCTTAGAACATATTAGAAATTATTTTTTTGCTTTATAAACACATTGATAAATCTTGGCTAAAATTTTTTAATATACCTTTCTCCACCAATTTGTCGTTCTTCGAATTCCTCGCATTTTCCCAATACAGAATCGTTAATGTCATTCACGGTAGTGACAATAGCTCCTCCACAGGCTTTCATGGTTCTTTTTAAATCTTCGTCTACTACTCGACCAGCACAAAACATATCTCTATCAGCGAAATATTGAGTTGCAACATCTCCAATAGGTAACTTGGAAAGAACAACATTAGCTCCACTTTTCCAAATTTTTTCAAGCTTTTGGTATAATATTTGCCATTCGGCATCAACAATTTTTTGATATTCTACAACACTGTCAACACGAATTTCTGCATTGTCGCGTTCTGCTTTGAGCTCCAGCTCGATGTTTAGCATTGCAATTTTACAAGGAGAGTATTTTTTCGGCTGCATTTCAAATCCAGCATAAGAAAAGGTTTTTTTGAAAGCAACACCAGCGACTAGAATTGAATCTTCTAAAGCTCCGCCAGATACTTTTTTAATACCAATCATATTGAGTGGTAATAAATCATCAAGTAATGATACTGCATTTACAACCATATTACTGAAATGTTCTTGTTGTTGATGAATCAATTTTGAACTCAATGCAGTTGCTGCACATTTCTGCAAAAGGCTGCGTTTTTCTTCAATCGAAGACTTATCAATTTTGATACTTAGTTCTTGAATTTTATCAATAGCTATTTGTGTAGCACGTCTGAATGCTTTGATAATGATGCGCGGATGTACACCTTCTTCAACGAATGGTTTAATTTGTCTCAAAAATTCACCAGCTAATAAAACAACACTAGTTGTACCATCACCAATCTAAAAAAACAAATCTTTCATTAATATTATCAATAATTTTTAATTCATAATTTTCGTAAGCAACTATAGACTTGTTTAAACTAAATTGAAGCAATTTTTAATAGACTTATTACAATTGCTAGTCTTTTATGTTTATATTTTCTCTACTCCTCATTTATTTATTAATGATAGAATAATTTCTTCGTTATTACTACCATTAAAAAATGGAGATCACTTTATTTTACTTGACTTATAGTTTTACCTCAGAATCTTGAGATTTAGCAATGTCCACTAGAGTTTTAGCAGCAGGATGAATAATATCAAGCATCTTTAAAATCGTTGCTCCGTCATTAGAAATAGTGCTCTTGCCATTTGCATCAACAATCAGTTTATCCATCCCTCGTGGACCAAGAGTTGTTCGTACTGCATCAACGACATTTTGACAGGCATTGATGTTGGATATTAATTGAGGTTTTCCTTGACTTGAGTCAGTCCCTTCTTTCAACAAAATTATTTGTGGTTGCTGTAAAGAAATAAATTTAAATCAATAGTATGATTAATCTAATCATTATTTCGAATTATTAAAAAATACGAAAATTTATTAAAAACCCATTTGCTATAGTTATAGTGATCTATAGATATTTCCTTATAAGGTTATAAGCTCACTCCCATGAGAATTTCTTTCATATTCATAGAATAATCTATATGGATGAATTGTTCGGTTTTTTGATATTTTAATTCAATTTTGAAATATTGGATAAGCATACTAACACATTTTTTACGTTAAATAATAAAAAAAAATAAAATAAACCACGCCGGTTTGTCATCACGCGTTGACAATTCGTTATAGAAATCTATTTTAGTCAAGTTAAAAATAATTAATTAAACACTGTCACTGACTTTGTAATAAACATAACGATAATATTTTTAAGAAAATGATTATTGAAGTAAATCCAAAATTGCTTACCATTTTTAATATGAAATGTGAGTCGACCTAATGAAAAACTTCCAATGGATGCTCCAATTCTCTTCTAAACAGAAAGGTTAGAATACTCTCTGCAAGTCGTATTCCTAGCAACGCCGTCTTTTCAATTCATTTGTTTCGAAACTATCGATTGGTTTCTTCTACGCATCGGTATTGTAGAGCCGCGAAAAACCATGTGGTGAACCGTGCATTATTGTGCAGAAAAGAATTGAACATGGCGCTACAATCAATGGTACCGATTACCTAAATGGTTGCATATATAGTTTTCGCGTAGTTTCGCTCTGATAAAGATTTGCCATTACCTGGTGCATGCTTTGAAAGCTCGAGAAAAATCAAAATTTTATGAAATAACAACAGTATCTTCTAAGTGTTGGAAGTGAGTGAAAATCTCGTCTGTAAGTGTTCAGCAATTCCGGTAAGTACTCCATTTAATCTGCAGTTTTTTAATTATTATCAGATTTTGCAGAGGTTATTCTGTAAGTCGGTCAATTCTTGTATTGATTTTACTACTACACATTAACAATTTATAAAGTTACATAATTTTAATTTATAATACTAAGAACAAGTCTTGACTGAAAATAATTATTAATCAAATAGTGAAAGTATTCATTCGTTTATTTACATTTTTTTTTCAAGTTAAAGTTCACTTTTGTGATTATTTATGTTTTGATGTCAATAAACTTTCTAATCAGATTTCTTTGTTTACAGTCAAAAAAGTGAATGGATTATTGTCGAGATATTCAATGAAAAAAACATCATTGAACTTTAAAAATGGTCAAGTATTTCGAATCATCTACTATTTTTCAATTTAATTGGAATCAAGTAGCTCAAGGTTTTTGGAAGAGATATCCTAATCCTCATAGGTAAATATAAAATAAATTAAATAAAAGATGATTAAGTAATCGAGTCATTGAAGACTTATGTTTGAGGTCTTATGTTATAATTTAAAAATTATCCTTCAGCACACACGTACTCACTGAAGATACAATATCTAGAGAAGTTAAAGATGGAAAATTATACTCTAAAAGATTATTAACCAAAACAAATAGGCTTCCTAAATGGGGCGAAAGATTTGTGAGCAAAAATGTTGTCAAAATTATTGAAGAAACGATTGTTGATCCAAAAGGGAAAACTTTTGTTACGTATACTCAAAATCTTGGATATACGAAAGTGATGGTAAGTGCAAAATATTTATTACATCAATTTAATTTTGGTAAAAAAATTTATTCAGTAGATAAAATAATTTTCTTGTCTTTCTAGAGTGTTGTCGAAAAAGTTGTTTACACAGTATCTGATGAGAATCCTGAATGGACAGTAGCTAAAAGGTCAGCATGGATTGATAGCTCAGTGTTTGGTTTCAGTCGAGCAATACAAGCATTTGGCTTGGAAAGATTTAAGAAAAACTGCTCGAAAATGACTGGAGGATTTAATTATGTCTTGGCTCATATGTTTCCTGAAACAGCTTTACACATGAGCCCTACTTTAGCACAAATGGGATTTGATATTAATGCCATTTCGTCAGAACCTGAACCATCAATGATTAAATTATCTCATGCAGCTGAAGACTTACAACATTCATTGCACGACAAAGCTGAAAAGATGAAAGATGCTGCAAAGAAAGCTACCGATATGGCGAAAAAGAAAGCCAGTCCTATGTATGCAGCATATCAATCGAATCAGTGATCACTTTAAATTATAAATATCAGCTTACATAGATGTTTTTTTTTTAAAAACGAAAATTTATCTCAAGACCTTATTTTCTCTTTTATTAAAAATTGTAAATCGTACTAAATAGCTGCATGTATCAAGCATTCCTCAGCTGAAATTAAGAGATTGTAAGAAACATTTTTTTTTGAGAGAAAAACTTATCATGGACGCGCAAATATGCATTTGTAAATGTTACCACCTAAATGTTCAGATGTCATCAAATTATAAATGAATTATCATCGGTAGTCATTTATTTGTCATACGTAAATCACAAAGTATATTCAAAAATGTATTTAGATTATCGTACTTATAAAGTAAAAAATAATTATATTCTGTATATAGTAAATACTTTTATGTAAAAAAACTAGCTTTCTTTTTAATAACCATTTGCAATTACAATGATTGTAAAAATAATAGTAATAAACTATCATTGTTGTTATTTTTAAAGTTATTCAGTTATTTAAGTTTTTAATTTTTTTTAGTAGAACTTAAAATCTATTACTACTGTATATAATGGAATTGATAATTGTTAAACATATTGAAAAAAAAATTTAGAAATGTTTTGATAAAATCGCGACATGATTTAAAAAAGATTGTAGATGTCGCTGATGGTAAAATTAAAAATTCAACTACAACGCCCTCAACGGTGGGAAAGTTAACTTTTTATAAATGTGCTATAGTTCGCCAGATATTTGTGTAATAGTAGTCGTAATTTGTCGAATAGGCGTGGAATAGTAAAGTTTAGAGAATAATTTAATCGTTTTTATTAAAAATTTTGTTAAATCAGGTAAGTGAAGTATTGCTAAAAGTTTAAAGATGTAAAGCTTCTTTTTGCAATAATATACAATTAAGAAACAGGACCATTAGTTTTTTATTTTTACAAATACTCTTTTTTTATCTGCGACTCCATCTTGTGTCAATACAAGGTTTGACGCCTCCCTATTTACGGTACTTTTTTATGTTATTAAATCGCTCTAATTAAATCAATGTTATGTTTTATTGAAGCTTTACAACTGACAACTAATATTGTTAATTCGTTTGATAGATTGCTAAGTAAGTGAGTAAGAAAGATGATGGCTAACATTATTCTTGAACGATTTCAGGAAAAACAGTCGGATTTTTTAACAGAGGAAATTTTATAAAAAAATAATGGCTGAACTTGCGGCACTTCTACGGCAGGATATTCCCGAGGGAAGGAGTAATTTAGCCGATAGTCATACGAATCTCGAAAGAGTAGCAGAATACTGTGAGGCAAATTATTTCCAAGCAGAAAATAAAAGAATAGCATTAGAAGAAACAAAAAATTTTACAACGCAGTCTCTTGCTAGTGTGGCATATCAAATAAATACTTTAGCTTATAATTTTCTACAATTACTCGATCTTCAAAGTTCGCAATTAGCTGAGATGGAGAGTCAAATGAATCACATTGCACAAACAGTTATGATTCACAAGGAGAAAGTAGCAAGACGTGAAATAGGAGTCTTAACCGCTAATAAAATGACCACAAGACAGTACAAAATAATTGCACCAGCAAACCCAGAGAAACCTATCAAATACGTAAGGAAGAGTATTGATTACACTATTCTTGATGATATTGGTCATGGTGTTCGAGGTAGTGGAACTCCCCGGAGTAAACAACGTGGTGGCAGTCAAGGTAGTGTTCAAAGTTTAGGAGGAGCCTCGTCAAGTTCTGGACTTGCGGGAGCAATGGTTGGCCCTGCACCGACAACAAAACCACCAACTCCACCACAAGCCGCAAGAACTGGAACACTCAGCAAAGGTTCTAGAGAATATCGAACACCGCCTGCCGTAGCACCGCCCCAAGTTCCGAGCCATTATGCACCTAATTATCCTCTTGGTCATCCTCGCCGTGAAAGAGGCCCAGGATATAGCACACTACCTCTCCATGCCCACACAACTCAACATTCTAATCACACACTCAATCACAATTCACACAATAACTCTCACAATAATTCTAACACTCAACATACGCCAACGCCACAAATTGGTACAGTTCATCCACTTCAAAGCCATCCGCAGCTGCCTCCTCCAGCACCACCTAGTGTGACTGGAACCTCTGCATATATTCAAGAAGTGCATATGCCTCGTAAGTATCAAGCAGTAAAATAAAAATTTATGGCTTTTTGTGTTTGAAAAATAATTTTGTTATTATTGTTTTTTTTTATTACAGCACCACCATCTCCATTAGTTGGAATTGGAGAAATGGGTGAGTATACAGGACATCATACACTTCCTCATAGATTGTCCCATCAGTTGAGTCGCAGTAGTGGTGCAAGTAGTCCTCCATTACCGCCTCCACCACCTCCTGAACATGAAGAGCATCCTCAGTTTGGTAGACCACCTCAATCGAGCAGTGCCATCATGCCCATTGTTCCCGATGAAGAAGATCTTCCTGGATGGGTGCCTAAAAATTACATTGAAAAAGGTAAAAACATATATCTTAAATCTGAAAAAGTGCTGATGATTGATAAATCCATTTTTTGCAGTTGTTGCAATATACGACTATTATGCTGACAAAGAGGATGAACTGAGTTTTCAGGAGAGTTGTGTGATTTACGTATTGAAAAAAAATGACGATGGCTGGTGGGAAGGAGTAATGGATGGCATAACTGGACTATTTCCAGGGAACTATGTTGAGCCATGTGTTTGAAAAGAATATTGAAATGATTTTTAAAATTTAAAAAACATTTGCTAAACATTTGAAGAATGCTGATAGAGGTAATAGAGCTACAGTTGCCAGGCAAATTTTTTATTAATTTCTTTACTTGCAAATCGACTGAATCTAGATATATACATATATATATATATATATATATATATATCAAAGATGCTGATGCTGCAAATAATGCAGCCAGCAAAGTGAATGTTTGGAAAAGTGCTAAGTATGCAATTTACGCAAGACAAATGGTATTTCATGATAGAATAAATTTATCATCTTTAGCATTCATATTAAATCAAACTAATAACAGCCAAATTATTCTTATGCAGGTAAGAAAATTAACAAAATTATTTTTCAAAAAATTCCGCATTTATACTTTGTAGTGAATATATTAAGGAATATCACGAAAAAAAATCGAAAACAATCATTGAATAATTATTTAATCGAATCTTGTATAGTCAATAATGCCGTAACTAAAAAAATTATTTATATATTTTGGATTGTGTTTATATTCTTATTGAGTAATTAATCAAAAGTATTAACAATTTTTAAATCATTCGCTAATAACATGATGTAGTAACAAATTTACCCGTATTTAAATTTCTATCAAACAAATTGATAATTTTAAAATAAATACTAACGTCCTCAGATACATACTTTTATTTTCTAACAAATTATTCCAACATTTCCTATTAAGGACTACATCTTCCTTGATTTTAATGAATTTTATATTTATATAATTAATGCACGATATTTGTAACTTTTTAATAAACTATGTTTTATTTATTTTTTTATTGTTATTGAATAAAGTAATTATCGAAGAGCTTAAAATCTAGAAATTAAAAATAAGTGGTAGTGGTTAGAAAGTTAAATGATCTTTTATATTTTTACATTGTGAAATTAATATTTATTTTATACAAACGAAAAGTCTCGGATTTTCAATATAATTTAAAATAAATATTTGAGGATGAAAAATGAATTGAGGTTTGAAGACTCGACAGTTCTTTTTTTATCAACCATAAAATTACAATTTTTTTCAAGACCTAAAAGTTCTTGAGCAATCAAATTTTTTAATGGCGAATATTCAAGTCAATCATTGGCTATCGTAAAAAAAATTTATCATCTGTACAAGAAGTCTTATTTTATCGTTCAATTTTTCGAATATAAAATTCGGTATGTAATAAATTTAGAACATTATATCTTTTCCATTAAAGTACTTAAATTATTACAATTTGCTTTCGTCTAGAATAAACATTTTCGATAAATAAAATATTCTTTTTTTATCGCACTAAAAAGATGATTGTAACATTAACTCTGCATCGACAATCTACTTCTCCATCGAATCTGGAAATGTCTATATACACTATTTCCTGTGTACGAACAGAGTATATAGAACTATTTCTTCTGGAAGCTTTTTATTTAACGTTAGAAGGGTGAGAAGTGGCTTGAATCCTAAATGACTTATACTGTCAAGTGCACTAGTAAAAAAAAGATTGTCGGTGAAGGATTTTAGAAAATAAATTATATACATTCATTTTGAAACTTAAATTTCAATGAGGCATGTATGTACCGTAATTACATAGAGATATCCATATCGACAAGATTATAATTCATAACATGTATGTATGGGGACGGTGTTGCTTTAATGTAAAGCCTTATCCTAATTTGACAGGATACCCGACGACATGAATTTATGTTACGCTAGTCATGTACTGTGCTATAAGGGATGATCTTACGCGGTAATGTGGGTATATAAACCATGGAAATTGATGAGCAGATCCTCATTTAAATATAAATAATATTTTTGTTTCATGTTCATAAAAACATCTCTGGTTATTAGTAATCTCTAAAAGAAATTTTCATCAACAATACGCTCTCTAGAGTATAGATAGATTATTACTTATCCTCTTTAATATGATTTTAATTTAGAGGATAAAAAAGTTTTCTTTTTTTTTAATTTTGAAAAAACAAGCTATTATATGCTACTTGGATCTTCCAAGGGAAATTGTGAAATCATCATAGACATATTGAATGCATATTTTTTGAAAAATATTTTAAATAGTGGTTCTTTGTTGTATTATGAATTTATAATAATTATTATCAACAACAAAGTAGCAAAAAAAAAAAAATAGAACCAATAAGAGTTAATCAAAAGGCTCTTCATTGTTATCAGATCTGTTTTTGAATAAAACTCTTTGACATAAACTTTTCACACTAATTGCTTCGCAATTTTTAGACGATTTCAATAATATTATTATAATTACTTATTAAAAATAACTTTATCATTTTAACAATCGTTTTTATAATAGAAATTTCATTTTAAATTGATTTTAATATTCATTCTGCTACATGTAAATGAGCTTTTAAGCTTACTCTAAGACTCTGTGTTCTATTAATTCTAATTTTTAAATAAATGAGATTTGTTTCAATAATTCTACGATTTAAACAATTTTTATAATTTGTTAAACAATTTTTGAAGTTACTCAAAAATGTTTTTATCTCTTAGTTTGAAATAATCGTCCATCAATTGGCCTATTTACTCTAAATCAGGTTTACGTGTCCTACTAAGCTTTAAAATACACGTTCCTATGTTAATTACATTTTCTTACGTTAATTATATGTTATTATACTAATTACATTCGGTTTTAGCTAATAGCTAAAGTGAGTGTGGTACTTAAATAAAAAAGTAATTCTATTTCATTACAATTGTCTTATCCAATGAATTGTGAATACATTCTCTGGTATTTAACACAATTGATCTAATCTAGGATATTCAATCAATTAATTTTCTCCAATCAATCGACCTTTTATTTGATTTAAATGTAGTTAAAATTCCGTGATTTATTCTTGTGTTAAAAGTACGTAATGAATTTAGCGAGATATCATTCCACTTGGTAGAATATTTTAAGATGATATATTTTTCAAAGATTTCCGTAATTTCAAGGATTGACAATTCAAAGACTTACTCTCTTATAATAAATTAAATTAAAGCGAGTTCATAGTAGTAGAGGTTTTCCGGAGAGAAAATGGACTTTTTGTAGTCTTTTAAATTATCGGAAATTAGTAGCTTGATAGAATAAATTGAAAGATTAAAAGCTGTATATGGCATAGTATTCATCAGGAATTGCACAGGACATAAAGTCGATGAATTTTTTTGTTTAGTGAGTTATAGAGAGACGAGTAATCAAAAAGCGTTGCGAATTGTCCAATGGATTTTCTCCAACTGCTATTGAAGTGGAAAAATTGGCAGGAACGATTGAAGGTTCAAGTCGCGCGGCTTTACTTCGATTGAGCTCTTTCCTCCTTTTTTATTTTTCCCTCTACCCTCTTTCATCCTTTCTTCTCTCTAGATTCCTGTGTACGTGACGCTAGGATTCCTCTCTATAACCTCGACTACTACCTGTCTACGTGGTTGCTTTTGTTTTCCTCAACCACTACATACACACAGTGTGGTACAGGAAAAGCTTCTTGAAAGCCAACTGAGGAAATTCAATATTGTTCAGTGAGTTCAAAACTGAAGAAGTGTATGAAAATTGAAATACCCATGGAATGTCATCGGGGTATATAAAGACATTGAAAAAGTGATGTTCAAATAACATCTAAAACAATTTTGTATTGTACTCAGGAGGATAGAATGTAGATAAATTTCCGGTTACTCTTCGAAATAGGATGAAGGATTCATGCCACTATTTTTAGAAAAATAAATCGTTCATTAAGACAATAAATACTTTATAGCTCACTGTGGTTTTTAACTATTGGAGAATCAGAGTTGTTAGTTTTTTTTAATCAACACTTTTTTTTATTCTCATTTATAATTTTTAGCTTTGGTAAAAGACAAAGGCCAATGTAAAATTTCGTGTGAATAGGTAATATTTATTGCAACTAATAAAATCAAAATTTTAAATAATTGTTTTGGAATTGACATGGTAATATTTTTATAGATTCAGTTATGATGGTCACTTGAAGTAATTTATTAAAAAAATACATATTTATTGTACTCGATTATTTTGAATAGAATAATTTGAGTATTGGTTTATTCAAATGTTTTATTTTTTTTTAAGATCCATGGTGTTTCAGGTAGTAGGAATTAATTAAATGCCACTTGTATTTAAACTTATTAAAATCTTTAACAAAGTATCGAAATACATTCCGTTAAATTGAATAAAATATTTTATTGCAAATGTTTTTATTGATTAAATAAACATTATAAATGTAAGAAAATGTAAACAAGCATGCATTTTGAGATCGACTATACAAACGTAAATTTTATTATGTCTAACAATAATGAACTAATTTTGATTTATTATGTATTATAAAAATAATTTACAATACTACTAAAAAACTTTTTGGTTGACTTGATGAAAGTATTTGAAGTAACTTTATTCATATATTTTTTATTATCCATAATTTTTCATTTTTTTCGCTCACGTCGATTTGCATAAATTAATTTTCAAAGCTGGGGTGGTTAAAGTAACTTGAGTTGACCGTAATTGAAATATAGATCGTTTAAAATAAATTATTGTTATTTTATAGCTCATTAAATTATGTTTTTTTTTAACAATTATTTATGTGAACTACGCTAGTTGACAATAAAAATACTCCTAAATAGAATCAGCTGAAATGTGAACCGCAATAAATAAATGCTTGTGAATATTCTGGTACGAATATTAGAATAACTAAAATTAGCTTTAACATTAAAAGCTTGTACGCATGAAATCATTTGTAATTAAAACAAACTAATATTACAGCCATTTTGATGTCAAAAAAAATCCAATTAACCATAATTATATTTCTTTTGTTAACCATTGACTTCCTGGATCAACGCTTTTTTTTTTAATGTTATTTTTTATTTTTTTAAAACATTAAAAAAAATTAATAATTTTAAAAAAACTCTAGTCAAAAAAGAATATTTCAAATACCGCATATTTTAAATTACAATTTTTTCTACTCTGTTATGAATATTTCAAAATTAGTTAATAAAAAAAAAAAAAAAAATTATTTTATTTTATATATATTTTTTTTTATTACATAATTTTAAAATATTCATAAAATAAAAGTTCAAGAGAGCCATTTTATTCAAGCAATT